GGGCGCAGCAGTTAAGGTCACATTCCACTTCAGCAGCCTGGGGTTTGCTGGCCCAGATCCCGGGTGCAGCCATACACACTGCTTATCAAGCCATACTGTGGCAGAAGTCCCACATATAAAATGGAGGAAGATGGGCATGGATGTTAGCTTAGGGTCAATCTTCCTCAGCAAAAAGAGGAGGATTGGCAGCAGATGTTAGCTCAGGGCTCATCTTCCTCAAAAAAACAAAGAGCTGTGGTGGTGCCCAAGATGGTCCCCTTTGGAACTGAAATTAAATTTGTGAGGCCCGTGGGGCTGGCTCCATGGCACAGCAGTTAAGTTCACACACTCTGCTTTGGCAGCCCGGGGTTTGCTGGTTCAGATCCCAGGTGCAGACCTATGCACGGCTTGTCAAGCCATGCTGTGGCAGGCATCTCACATATAAAGTAGAGGAAGATGGGCACAGATGTTAGCTCAGGGCCAGTCTTCCTCAGCAAAAAGAGGAGGATTGGTGGCAGATGTTAGCTCAGGGCAATCTTCCTCAAAAAAATAAATAAATAAAAGTAATAAAAAGAGTGAAACTTAAAAAAAAAGAAAATTTGTGAGGCCCAGATGATGATAGGGACAATCTGGCCTGGGTGGAAGATCTGCCCTCTGGAATTTTGTTTGGCTTTGGCCAAATTACTGCCTCTCCTCTGCCCCTGAGTTTTCCCATCTGCAAAATGGGAAAGTTGGACTGAGTGACTTTTTTTTTTTTTTAAAGATTTTATTTTTTCCTTTTTCTCCCCGGTACATAGTTGTGTATTCTTCGCTGTGGGTTCTTCTAGTTGTGGCATGTGGGACGCCGCCTCAGCGTGGTTTGATGAGCAGTGCCATGTCCGCGCCCAGGATTCGAACTAACGAAACACTGGGCCGCCTGCAGCGGAGCGCGCGAACTTAACCACTCGGCCACGGGGCCAGCCCCTGGACTGAGTGACTTTTAAAGGCCCTTCCTATTCTCAGGTTTTGTCCCTGCTCAGAGCTTTCTGGCCCTTGGGTCTTAGTGGCCCACGAGGCCAGAAGCCTGCTCCTTGACCACAGAAAGGGGATGAAGCGGGGTGAGTTTGGAGTCGGGGTGGGGTGGGGCAGGAGAAGGGATTGATTAAACTGACCCAGAGCCTTTCTAGTCCCCTTCCTGATCTTCCCCACTGAACCCTTGGAACCCCTGACGGTAAAGTAGAGGAAAAACCTCTCCTCTGCCTTCCTCCTGCACAAGCCCATGAGCAGCCCTGCTCCAAGGAAAGGAGGGAACTGGAGAAAGCAGACAAGGTACGGGGTCCCCAGGGGAAGGCCTTGCTGAGTTTGAGTCCCAGCTGGGAGCAGCCCCCAGCTCAGGACACTGCTGCTATTGTCTCCAACAACTCCAACGCTGGCTGGGTGCCGGAGATGCTTTGATTTCTCTTCTCTGTGCTCTATTTCTCTGCCAAAAGGCAGGGACAGTTTTTGTTTCCTTTTGGCAGCAGCTACAGAGGGTTTGAGTGTGTCTGAAATATAGTGAGCAACTGCATGTCCAGAAGCCAGCCGCCTCTCCATGGGATAGGAGCCACAAGAGCCAGGTAGGCAAAAGAGTTGACTGGGTCTGCCCTGCCTCTCCCAGTGATGCTCCATGAGAGAAGTGGAGGAAAGGAGGAAGGGGGCCTTCAAGGACTCTGGGGAGGTGTTGAGGAACAGGATTCTGGGAGCTTGCCAAGTCAGACAAAATTTGATGGCTACTACTCCAGGAACTTCTTCCCCCAGTAACACCTCATCCCTACCTGCTGGGAAGAGCTCCCGTGAGCCTGTAAGGGGGCTGACTGCCAAGATTGCCCTCCAAGCTGTTTCCCGTAGGCCGAACTTCTTCCCAGTCTTTCACCGCCTTACTTTTCCTATCCCACTCCCATCCGCAGTGGAGAGAGGGGGAATTGTCTTTAGTTGGAGCCGCAAGAGCAATCTCAGGGCCTGCACAGCCTAGTTTAGAAGCTGTTTCTTTTTTTTTTTTTTAAGATTTTATTTTTTCCTTTTTCTCCCCAAAGCCCCCCGGTACGTAGTTGTATATTCTTCGTTGTGGGTCCTTCCAGTTGTGGCATGTGGGACGCTGCCTCAGCGTGGTTTGATGAGCAGTGCCATGTCCACGCCCAGGATTCGAACCAATGAAACACTGGGCCGCCTGCAGCGGAGCACACGAACTTAACCACTCGGCCACGGGGCCAGCCCCTAGAAGCTGTTTCTATTTCTAGAGAAGTGCAGGGGGTATACTTACTTTATCCATAGCCATCCCTACTCCTAAGGAGCTACATGAGCCAGCCCTTTTAATGCTGCTTTCTAAATAGTTAAATGTGTTTGAAGAAGGGGGAGAAGGGTGTGGGAAGGACCACCCAGACAGAAGGTCTAGAGCACTCAGCTCTGGTGGAGCTGACAGAGAGGGAATGAGGCTGGGCAGGAGAACACATTCTGCTGGAGCCCAGGATGACCTGTCCTTGGCCTGAGCTGTCTACCACCACCCAGAAGGATTGCATCAGGGGCTTTTTTGTCACGGGCAAATGCGGAGATTCTTCAATTCTTAACCTCTCTTATTCCCCCACCCTCAAGGTAAAAGACCATTTTCTGATCTCTGGTTGCAGCTTCTGGCACTAGAGACTTGACAGGTGCTGTTGGCCTAATGCTGCCCACAGGAGCGTACATTCCCAGGCTGGGCCCCTAAATGTAATGGGTGGCAGTGGGGGGCTGCCAGGGCTCCTGCTTCCCTCCACCACATCTCAGGCTCGTTGACTCTGCCTGGCCCAGACAACAGAAGCCAGCCCAAGGCATGGTAAGGGAGAGGCTTGCAGGAATGCCAGGGAAAGAAGGCATGCCTTGGCTCCTCTAGGTTCTCCCACATGGACCCTACCCTGAAGCCCAGCTGATCGCTTTCCCCAAAACTCTGTGTGTGTGTGTGTGTGTGTGTGTGTGTGTGTGTTTCACCTCACTTTTTCTGGCACTGTTCCTCAGCCACATATATTGTCTCATTTAATCCTTATGCCAATGTCAGAGATTATATGACTTGTCCAAGGTCTTATAGCCAGTAAGTGAAAGATGAAGACCTTGAACTACGTCCTCTTCTAAATTCTGTCATCTTCCCACCTCTCCTATCTAATTCCTCTCACTTCTAGAAACCTTCCGAGTACTCCAGCTCACAGTAGTTTCCCCTGTGGTCTCTGTGCTCCCTCTTAGCTATGAACTTCTAAAAAGCAGGTGCCCTGCAACCCCAGAGTTTAGCCAAGTGGTAGACACATAAGAGACCCTAAGGCATGTTTGTCTCCTGAATCAGTAATTAGATTTGCTCCTTGGTGGTAATGGGTTTAATTAAGTTGCTTTTCTCCCTTGTTATTCTTTGGAGAACTACTATGGTTTGGGCCCAAAACACAAACCCAGGTCCAATGGAAATGACAGTGAACAGGCTATTCCACAGCAGTGCAGGCTGCTTGTAGAGAGGAAAGAGGAGCCTCCACTTCTCCTCTGTTCCCTGGGATCTGTGGCTTTAGCTCACCCTGGCTGAGGTCAGCTGTACTCAGGAAACCACTTTGTTGGAGAGAAGAAAGGTCATTTTGGAGCTTGGAGCAGCCAGAGAGCACAAGGTCCTGGGTTAGAAAGGTTGGAATTACAGACCAATTTCTCCCACCCTGGTCTTTGGCCTACAAGGCAAGACATTTTCTCAACAGAAAGGCCCTGCCCTGGAAGCATCCATAGAAATGCTGGACTTCACCACACTTGTTAGCAATGGTGGGCTTACAGTGGGAGCAGTGTCCAAAGGCCCAGGAGATTATAAATCTATTTCTCCATGGACCTTATCTCTTGCAGAGTCTGGTAAGAAGGAAGGAGATCTTAAGAGCTACTTACAGCAAATGCTCTCTACTTGCACTTTTTATGACACCTGTGCTGATTCCAAGCCATACCCATCTTTCGCTATAGCCCCAAGAGCAATCTAGGGGCCCATACAGCCTAGTTTAGAAGCTATTTCTATTTCCAGAAAATTTCTGAGGTTACGCTTTCTTTATTCACAACAGGACCCACTCCTCTATGATAGGAAGAAATGGCTATGTACATATGCTGCTTATAATGTGCAGTTACTACTTGGCCAACAGCACCATACAGGTATTGGTTCCTCCACAGGCATTTTGCTGGATGAATGGACCAATGGAAGTGGCAAACCTGTTAAGTGTTCATCCCCTCAGCGGAAAATTTCCCTTTCCCCAGGACTGAGGCTCTGCAGATGCTAATTGACACAAGTTTTCAAAAAGCAGTTTGGCAGTGTGTAGCAAGAGCCATAAAAATGTTCAATACTTTTTGACCCAACACCCCGACTCCTGGGAATCTGTCCTAAGAACATTCTCCACATGATTGGTGCAAAGACTGTGTAGTAACATGAAATGTTTATGATGTAATGATAAACAAGTCTGGAAGAATTGACCACAGACTTGGCCGGAGACAGTAGTAGTTGTGTTAGAGTCATGAATTTATTGGAGAATCTTTTTCTCTTTCCCAAACTTTACATGTTAGAATATTGATTTTTACCCTTCTCTGCCACTCAGGGTCAATCAGTCAGGAACCTGGCAGAAACAGCACTCTCAGATGCAATAGCTGATGAAAGTTTAATAAAAGAACTGTTCCCTGTTTCCAGTCCATTCCACCCTCGTTTCTGCAACTCTCAGTGACTCACTCGACAATTATTGAGCATCTACTTATTGTCTAGTGAGGGAGGCGGACTTTCAAGTACATAAATTGTGTCATAAATGCAATAATAAATATATAAATCTAGTGTCATAAGGAGCATAAAGAAGCAACTATCTATCAGCAAGGAGGCATGTATCAAGGAAGACCTCAAATAGAGGATTGATTCATGTTCAGTTTTCTTTTCTTCTCCCCAAAGCCCCCCAGTATCTAGTTGTATATTCTAGTTGCAGGTCCTTCTGGTTGTGCTATGTGGGACACTGCCTCAGCCTGGCTTGATGAGCAGTGCTAGGTCCAAGCCCAAGATCTGAACCAGCGAAACCCTGGGCGGCGAAACCCTGGGCCAGCGAGGGGGACGTGCAAACTTAACCGCTCAGCCACAGGGCGGCCCCATGTGCAGTTTTGAAGGTTGTCTGCCAAGACTAAAGGGCCACAGCCTGTAGAAAGGCAGAAACGCATGGAATAACAAGGTGCATTTAGGAAATTACAAGTGGCTTCGCAGGGCTGGAAGAAACATTGGGTGGGTGGGAAGGAAATGTGGAAGAGAAGACTTTAGTTAGGTCAGCAGGGCTTTGTGTTTGGGAGCCATCATCAGATTTGCGTTTTAGAGAGGTCACTCTGGCCTCAGTGGAGAGAGTGGACCGAAGAGAGCAAGAATGAAGGGAGGCAGGGAAGAGTGAAAAGGAGAAAGAAGTCTTTGGGTCTTGGCTAGTCGGCCAGCAGATACCCTTTCTCAGCATTGGCCTGTCCTGACTTATACTTGGCCAACGCCGTGTCTCTCCGGGATTTCCCTCCCTCCTCCCCGCAGGCGGGCAGGGAAGGAAGGCGAGGGGTGGCCCTGCCTGGGTGGTCTCCTGCCCCGCCTCCCGCGGCGCCGTTGCCTAGCAGCGGATCCGGCCGCAAGGCTCCGGGTAATTTGCGGGCCCCTCAGCCAATGGGAGGGCGTCGCTCCGGCCCGCTCCCTTTTTTGGGGGCTACAGACGCCTCCGCGGCACTGCGGTCGCTACCTCCAGACCCGCCGGGCGTCGCGGGCCTGTGGCTTTGCCGGCACGCGGGACCCACTCCGGCCGCACCGCCCTGCTGCTCCCCGGTCTCACAGCCGCCGCTGCACACCCGCACGCCGCCCTCACCCACGCCCGCGCCCGCTCCTTAGCGGCCCCAGTGAATCCAACGCGGGGCCCCGCGGTACAGAGGGACCAGGCCGGCCGATGGGGGCTCCCAGATAACGCGGGTTGGGGGCGCCCACGCCCCCCATCCCCGCCAGCATGGCTCGGCCGCCGCCCCTCGGGGAACTGCCCCCGGGCTACACACCCCCAGCTCAACCCGCAGCACCCCAGGTGAGTGGAGGGGAAGCCCGAAGAAGGAAGATTAGGACCAGGTCTAGAGACCCCAGGTCTGTCACTCGGGCCTCTCTGCAGGGTGTGATGTCTCTAAGTGCCATGTGTTATTGCCCTCTTGGAAAAGGTGTGTCTGTCTGTCTGTCTGTGTCTCCTCTGGCATCCAGCTGGTGAGAGTGTCTGTGGGTTCACCTCTGTGTCCACCTGAGAATAGGTGTGTACTGTATATATGTATATATATGTATGTATTCTACTCTCAGAGAACAGGTCTTTGCCTGAGGAGGTGTGTTTTGGGTGGGGGGCAGAAAACAGAGTTAAATCTTTTTCCAAGTTTTGGCGTGGGTCTGTGTAGGTCCTCCCTGTCCTGCATCCAGAAACCAAGAAGCAGGGGTTTGACAAAGGGTGCACATAGGGAGAAAAGCGAAGGATTGCATGCATTGTTGCAGTAATGCCTGGCTGACCCTTGTCTTTCCATCCCAGATCCTAGTTGGGAGCCTGAAGGCTCCACTCTGGCTTCGTGCTTACTTCCAGAGCCTGCTCTTCTCTCTGGGCTGCGGGATCCAGAGACACTGTGGCAAAGTGCTCTTCCTGGGACTGTTGGCCTTTGGGGCCCTGGCACTGGGTCTCCGAGTGGCCATCATTGAGACAGACCTAGAACAGCTCTGGGTGGAAGGTGAGTTGTGGACATTGGCCATAGCTGCTTGGCTATGGGGAGCCCAAGACAAGAACAGAGTGAGGAACTGGCTACTGAGTTCTAGTAGGCTTTGCTCTGGGTCTAGAGGGGGCACCTGCCCACCAGAACCTGGGCATCTGGGAGCACTGCTCCCTCCCACACCTGGAAATGGACCTCTGCAGATGATGGAATGCTGTGAATAGGTCTATAAAATAGTTATCAGTGAGTATGTATGTTTATTTAGCATTTATTGCCAACCCTCTGTGTCTATTTTTGACTGCACAGCAGGGTTTGCGAAGGCAACTGAAACAAGACCCATCTTTCAGTAGCAAGGAAAGTGAAATCTGTGCTGGGATGTAACATACAATACAATACAAAGCAGAATATGATTATGTTGTATAAGAGAAGGAAAGGAGAGATCACATCTGACCAGAAGAATAAGAAAAGTTAGAACTGGAAGGCTAGGGAAACTGAGCAAATCATCTGGCAGGCCTTCAGGGAGAGGTCCCATGCAGCCAGGCGCCCTGCACCCATTGAGTAGAACAGCAGAAGAGAAACTGCACTTTGAGGCAACAACAGCATCAGATGGGACCAAATCCTCACTTCCTAATGGAAGCATTAGATGAAAATGATTTCTTAGGGGCCGGCCCAGTGGCACAGTGATTAAGGGCACATGTTCCACTTTGGCGGCCCGGGATTCGCCGGTTTGGACCCCAGGTGCGGACCTATGCACTGCTCATCAAGCCATGCTGTGGTAGGCGTCCCACATATAAAGTGGAGGAAGATGGGCACGGATGTTAGCTCAGGGCCAATCTTCCTCAAAAAAAAAAAAAAAGATTTCTTATTAATAATTTCAGGATAACTCTCTTCTTTCCTGGCGCCTGGTTTTATATGGCAGCTGTTTAACAGAGTCAAACTCCCCTCTGTTCTTCGCTGGGAACTTTGCATTTGTGGGCTCCCTCGAATCTCCCCCAGCCCTGGCCCACACCCAAAGGCAGGGCCCAGGTTAGAGTCGCACAACCTTGAGTTATTTCAAATGCTGACAAGCCCTGGGATCCAAAGCAGATGTTTCTTGGAGCCTGCCTGCCTGTTGGGCTCCCACACCCCGTCCCCACCCTACCCCCAGCCCCCTGCAGACTCTCACATACATACACACTCTAGGCCAGCCCTAGGGTCCAGAGCAGATGTTTCTCTGTGCCTGCCTGCCTGCCTGCCTGCCCGCCCCCAGCCCCAGGACACACATGTGCATACACACACATACACATACCCCCACCCACACCACTGCTGCCTGGGTGGTCCCAAATGACTCTTGGATTTCCTGCCACAATAGAAGCTGTCTCCCTCCCCTTCCTCCTCTATTCTCTAGATCTTCCCCGCTAAACACTACTTGAGCCTCCATGTTTCCTCATCCTCTCTCGTACACTCTAGCGTAGGACAGGCTAGATCCCACCAGATTTTTGCTGCTATTTGGAGGAGGGTGATGTCAGGAGGGTGATGTAGCCAATTCCTAGGGCTTTTTTCTTTATTTCAGAGCACCACTCTGTCCTGTGTTGGCTAGGGCTGGGGGCAAGATAAAGGCAGTGGTCCTGACCTGATCTATCCTCTGTAATTGAGCCTTCATAATAGTTGAGGCGGCAATGAGTTGCTGATCCAGGTGAGGACTGAAGAGTATTCTCTGTTTCTTTCCCGTTTGCTAATACAGAAAGCGAAGGAAGAAGCAAAACATTGGCTATCAGAGTTCTGGGCCAGAGTTCAGGGTCCTCTCCAGCTTTGCCATGGAGAGACTTGGGATGTGACTTGCCCCTCCTGATCAATTTTAAAGCTAAAGGGCTTGGAGATAGATTGTTCTCTAAAATAAAAATCACAATAGATAGCCCAATGGTACTTACGCGAGCAGTGATAGAGATGATTTGCACTTGGAGCTGTTCCTGAAGATAAGGAACATACAGACGTTCCATTTAGAAGGCAGAGAACAGCCACGTAGCAATTGGTAGAACCACTATCTACTCAAATAGCCCAGGCTGAAACCTTGGGAGACAGCCTCAGTCCTTCTGGCTCACCTAATTGGTTACTAAACCAGCAAATTCTTCCTTCTTAACCTCTCTTATAACAGACCCCTCCTTTCCACGCTTACGGCCATTGCTCTGGTTGGGGCCTTTTTCATTCTCTGGCAGTACACTGCTGATTCTAACGTTTAGAATGCTTTTAGCCACATAAAAGAGAAAGATAGGAAAGGAGGGAGGGTAGGAGGGAAGAAGGAAGAAGATTGATGTATTGTCTCCTGTCACAAGAAATGTGGCAGTAGACAGTAGAGAAGTTCCAGGATGGTTAATTCAGCAAACCAAGGACATCAGCAAGGACTCCGTTTCTTTCTGTCTTTCCCCTCTGCCTTCTTCAGCACGTTGGGCTTTTGTCCTCAGGCTTATCACCTCCTCATCCCAAGGTGGCTGCTGCAGTGGCAGAAAAAGGAAGTCATCTCTGTCTTGCATCTCTTTGAAAGTGAGGAAAAATTTATGAGAAGCCCCCCAGCCAACCTCCCATTTGGTCACTTTGGCAAGAACTGTTTGTAGCATCCTATGCCTAAATCCTTCACTTGGCAAAGGCAATGGAATTAACTGTGATTGATTCTTAGACTAATCAAACGTCACCCCCTGAGGCTGGGGAGGGGCCCAGCTGCCCTGAGTCACTGGGCCTTTCAGAGGATGGCCAATGAAATCAAGGTCTGTCCGCCCCACCTTCAAATCTGCCTCCACACTGCCCTCCTGTGGTGGATCTAAATCTGATTGAGCCAGCCCTCTCCTTAAGCACCCTTTGACTGCTTCCCTCAGGTTTGGGGTCTCCAGAATCAAGGCCCAGCTTCTTAGCGCATATTCTACGCCCTCCTGTATCTAACTCGTTTTTTTTTTTTTGAAGATTTCATTTTTCCTTTTTCTCCCCAAAGCCCCCCGGTACATAGTTGTGCATTTTTAGTCGTGGGTCCTTCTAGCTGTGGCATGTGGGACGCCTCCTCAGCATGGCCTGACAAGCGGTGCCATGTCCGTGCCCAGGATCCGAACCAGCGAAACCCTGGGCCGCTGAAGTGCACGAACTTAACCACTGGGCCACGGGGCCGACCCCTGTATCTAACTCTTGATTGCTTCTCCGGCATTGTCTCTGCCTCACTCTTAGCAGTCCAGCAACGCTGAGCCTTCCACAGTTCCCTGCACAGACCTCATCCAGAAAGCCTTTTCCTGGTCCAGAAAGCCTTCTTCCCTTGGCCGATTCCTATTCATCATTCACAACTCCACTCCAGAATATATTTTTAGGTGATGAAAAAGTTCAGGTCTTCTCACCTCTCTGCTCAAAACCTACCGTGCTTCCCCATCTCACTCAGAGACAGCCTGAGTCCCTACAAGAGCTTACAGGTGAAATTTCTGGACCAAAGATTATGAACATTTCTGAGGGTCTTGATACGTTATTGCAATATTGCTTCCCCCGAATATTGTACCAAATTACACTCCTGTGGTAGGTTGGAGTGCTCTCCTGTAAGCCAGCAATGAGTGCTATCAATTTTAAAGTTTTTGCTAATTTGATGGATGGTAATTTATTGCTGTTTTAATTTGCATTTACAGGTTTCCCTCTAAGCTGGGCTCTTTTTCCATAGTAGTTAGCCAATTATATTCTCCTTTTTGTAAAGGCACAAAAGCTTTTAACAAATGTATTGATTTTGCTTTCTCCTTCCCCTGTTTGCCTATTTCTTCCCCATTTACTTATAGTCTTTTTTTCCTCCAGTTCTTTCTCATTTTTCTGTCACGTCATTTCTCTCCCAGCAACTGTTGAATGGTAACTCCGTATCTGTACCTACTATGTGCTGGGCAATTTCCTAAGTACTTTGCTTGCATTGATTTTAATTCTACCAAGGGAGGCATTGTCCCCATTTTACAGATGAGGAAATCGAGGGTCAGAGGGACTAACTAACTTGCCCCAAGCACAGACTGAGTATCAGAGCCAAGGCTCGAAGCCGGGTCTGCGCAGATTCTTGGTGCTCCTCTACACCTGCTGTCTCTTCTTGCCCTCACAGTACATCCAGTTCATCTGTCCTCGTACCGTCGTCATTGTTGTCGGCCAAGGTTTATTGTTCTCTTCCTCATTTTTTCTGAGGATTCTTTATTCTCTCTGATGTTTTAAATTGTCAGTGTTTCTTTCTCTTGTTTTCTTATTAGCTCTCTCTGGGTTCCTTCCTTCTCCCACGCCTCTTTCCCCTCAGCAAACTCACTTACTGCCGGGAGCTTATGTCTGTCCTCCCCTCCTGTCCCTCTTTGTGGCAGCTGTGGCCTAAGCCTGGGGAAGTAAACACTGCAGTGCAGCCTGGGGAAGGTTTGAGGAGTCAGGGAAGGAAGAAAAAGAGTAGGTGGAATTTGTCAGTGGAGGGGGCAGGTGGCTGTGTGAGACTGTGTTTATGAGAGGAGGGCCTGGAATGTGACTTGGTAGGGGATGTGAGCATAAGGGCAAATCGGTGTTGGGGGTTGCCAAGGGTTTGGGGTTCTCATGAGTGAGGAGATTATGCGGGTTTGAAAAAGAGATTGGGGAGCATGATGGTCCCAGGTGGGGCTCGAGTCTCAGAGAAGAGTGTGTATGGGCCCCAGGGGTGAAGTGACCAACAAGAAGAGGCCCCAGACAGGGGGAAGCACACTGGGTCTAAGACCAGACCAAGTCCACAGAGCTTCGGGGTGGTTTGACACTGGCGCTCGCCTTCCTCCAAACCACAGTCAGGTCATATCCCCTGACAGTGTCCTCGCCACCCCCGGGCCCCAGTTATAGACTGTGACTCCGTGGCCAGCATGACGCAGGCCTCAAGGGGTGCTAAGGTCAGGAGACTAAGGCAGGGCTGGCACTGGGATTCCCTGTTGTCTGGACAGTGAGACTGGTGAAAGGGATCTGGAACCCCTTCTTCCCCTTGGCCCACTTTGATGTCACGTCTGCCAAGATACGTGCACTGATTCCATGTATCTCTTGCATGAGTGGAAGCAGTGTGTTGACAGCATCAGGCTAAAGACTGTCTGATCCACCCCCTCGCCTGTGTCACCACAGAGCCCATTCTTACCAGGCCCTCCCATCCCTACCCTCTTTCCAGAGCAATTCGCAAAAAGCCATATGGATATAAATCACTGCCCTGCCCAGGGCAACCTGAACTAGGAACCAGCCCCAGCCCTAGACCTGTTCTTTTAGGAGACCCTCCCAAGGGCTGCCTCCCTATTGGCCCCTTTTGTCGCTCCTTGTCCTCCCCACCACAGCAGAGAGAGTCTGAGTGAGGGCTCCGTTACCAGGACACCCCCATAATCCCAGCCTGGCCCAGCTTATTTTTAAGTTATTTGTCCCAAACCCAGCCAACTTGGTTCATGTTTAAACCTTAGACCAAACCAGAATTCGATAGAGCCTCTCGCTTCCCTGTCAGAGCTCCGGATCCTGAGCAGAGGGCCAGGAGCCTGGGGAGTCAGTGTGACCATCAGGGAGAAGGCAGGGGCTTCTCTCAGCAGTGCTTCTCCCACTTGTCCTGGGAGGCCTCAGTGGGTTAGGGTCCCACATCCCCAGAGCTCTGATCCACCGAGGCGCTCTCCTCCCAGCTTTCTCTCTCTGCTCTGGCAGTGGGCAGCCGGGTGAGCCAGGAGCTGCATTACACCAAGGAGAAGCTGGGGGAGGAGGCTGCGTACACCTCCCAGATGCTGATACAGACTCCCCGCCAGGAAGGGGAGAATGTTCTCACGCCTGAGGCACTTGGCCTCCACCTCCAGGCAGCCCTCACTGCCAGTAAAGTGCAAGTATCACTCTACGGAAAGTGAGTCTGGCTGAGCCCCTGAACAGCTGGGAGTGAGATGTGCTATGACCAGGCTAGAGCAGGAATCCCTCTCTTCTGCTGATCTCCTCTGCCTCTGGCTATTGTAGGTCCTGGGATTTGAACAAAATCTGCTACAAATCAGGAGTCCCCCTAATTGAAAATGGAATGATTGAGCGGGTGAGTATCCTGAGCTGTTCTCTGAGATTGGGTCGAGGTCGAACCTTTTCTGCAGTAGGGGAGGGCTCAGAAGGATTCCGGGAGGCTAAAGTCTGGAGGTAGGGGGGTTGCAGAGGGCATCCTGCAAAGATTGTGGAGAAAGGAGCCCAGGGACAGGACTGATGTGGACTGGGATGTCCCTGGCAGATGATTGAGAAGCTGTTTCCGTGCGTGATCCTCACTCCCCTCGACTGTTTCTGGGAGGGAGCCAAGCTCCAAGGGGGCTCTGCCTACTTGCCGTGAGTGCTGCCTCAGCTGCTGCCGGGCCCTGCCTCCCTGCTTCGTCCCCTGCCAGGATTTCCCCAGCAGAAAGGAGGGGTGGGAGTGAAAATGATGATCGAAACCTCACCCACGGCCTAATTACCTCCCAGGCCAGGGTCAGAGCGTGGGCTACCCCAGGGCTCTCTCCACATCCCTCTTCTCATCACCTCCAAAGGAAAGGCAGACCTGTCTTATTTAAACAGAACAAAACACAAAGATGTATAAGATCTGAGCGAAGGAGAAAAAAGATCCCCAGAAAGAGACTTTGCCGGGAGAGTTAGCTAGGGATCAGCTGAGCTGTTGCCAATGTCAGAAAGAAAACCTATTACAGGCAGGTGCCCGTATGGTTATATATTAGAACCAAGGGTAGATGGCTTGGGAAGGGGCTCAGTGGGACTTTTCTGGGCCTTTTCCATGTATTAAGTACCATCTGTCCTGATGTCCATCTCAGCCCCTTAGATCCATCCACAGCTCACTGCAGCAGCCTGGTGGGCTGAGCCTGGGAGCTCTGGGAAGCTGAACCCTACACACCCATATGGAGGGACAAATGGGCAGCTAGGAGGAGGGTCGGGTACAGCATGGGTCCCCTAGCAACAGTTTGGAGGGTGGGAATTGATCCCTGATTCTCACCAACCATGGGCTTTCCTCCCAGGGGTCGCCCCGACATCCAGTGGACCAACCTGGATCCAGAGCAGCTGCTAGAGGAGCTGGGCCCCTTTGCTTCCCTTGAGGGCTTCCGGGAGCTGCTAGACAAGGCACAGGTGGGCCAGGCCTACGTGGGGCGGCCCTGTCTGCACCCTGATGACCTCCACTGCCCGCCTAGTGCCCCTAACCATCACAGCAGGCAGGTGCGTTCCAGCCAGGTCTGCCAGGGAAGGCAGCTTTCCTTCCGTTATCCCTCCTCGTATGCTCCTCTGTTCTGGGCGAGAGTGGATTATGCTCTGTGCTCTGCCCCCCACTTCCTGGACATTGTTACCCTGCCCCCGCTGTGCTAGACACCTAGAATATTCCATTCCGTTCAGTTCTCCTAAGGAACCAAGTGGCATATGAAGCCCTTTGTCCTTTTCTAAGCCCAGAAAGGCTAGACTTTATCAAAATAGGCTTTATGTGGAAACTGAGGACAAATTAGCTGAGTATGAATATCATACCTAGTTTCCTGAGTGTCTGTGTGGCCCTGTGAATGTGGACATTTTTCCAAAACCCACCAAAGTTATGCCAGCTTCTTCCAGCAGCCTATTTCCAGGCCTCTGCTCCCTCTTGTGGCCTCCTCTCTGCAGGACACCAGCTGTTCACTTACAGAGGAGACAAGAGGCTCAGGAGAATAGTTGCCTGCACTTCAGGCCTACAGAGCTCCATGGCAGGCATGTTTCCTGGAGGTCCCAGCCTAGGGACACCCAGGTATCCACAGCCAGGACCGTGAGTAATAAAGCCCTCTCTTGCCCCCCTCCAGCCTCCCAATGTGGCTCAGGAGTTGAGTGGGGGCTGCCACGGCTTCTCCCACAAGTTCATGCACTGGCAGGAAGAAGTGCTGCTGGGAGGCACGGCCAGGGGCTCCCAAGGACAGCTGCTGAGGTAGGGCCTCCCGTGGGAGCTGGCCAGGGGGCCCCAGGCATGGGAGTCTACACTCTGATGCCAGGAAGCTCTGGCAGAAGCCCCTGCACCCCGCTGACCGAGTGTTTAGCTCTGACCCCTAATTCTCCTGCACCCCCACCAGGGCAGAGGCCCTGCAAAGTACCTTCCTGCTAATGAGTCCCCGGCAGCTGTATGAGCACTTCCGGGGCGACTACCAGACACATGACATTGGCTGGAGCGAGGAGCAGGCTGGCACAGTGCTGCAGGCCTGGCAGCGGCGCTTTGTGCAGGTCAGTGTGGAGGAGGATGAGGGCAATGCCCTGAGGCTACTCCCTCCTCCTGCCCCTCAGATCCACCCTGTCTCTCCAGCTGGCCCAGGAGGCCCTGCCTGGGAATGCATCCCAGCAGATCCACGCCTTCTCCTCCACTACCCTGGATGACATCCTGCACGCCTTCTCTGAAGTCAGTGCTGCCCGTGTGGTCGGAGGCTATCTGCTCATGGTGGGTCGTGCTCCTGGCCCCTTGCCTCACCTCCACCTGGTGCCCACCCTGGGAGCCCCTGTCCAAGACTGTGCCCTCTCTCCCCACAGCTGGCCTATGCCTGCGTGACGATGCTGCGATGGGACTGTGCCCGGTCCCAGGGTGCTGTGGGCCTTGCCGGGGTGCTGCTGGTGGCCCTGGCCGTGGCCTCAGGCCTTGGGCTCTGTGCCCTGCTCGGCATCGCCTTCAATGCTGCCACTACCCAGGTATGCCAGGACTGCCGGGCAGACTGGGTGCCACAGCCCAGGCTACTCAGTTCCTCCAGCTGCCCGCCCCTGTGCCCCTCCAGGTGCTGCCCTTCTTGGCACTGGGCATCGGCGTGGATGACATCTTCCTGCTGGCACATGCCTTCACAGAGGCTCCACCTGGCACCCCTCTTCAGGTGAGGCCTCGTCCTCCTGCCTGGGCTCACCTGAGGCAGTTCTGCATAGGAGTTAAGAGCCTTTTGGTTGGGTGACCTTGGACTGGTAATTAACCTCTCTGTGCCTCAGTTTCCTCATCTGTAAACAGGGGTAACAATAGTGCTTATGTCGTAAGGGTTGTTGTGAGGATAGGTAAGATAATTCATGTCGAGCGCTTGGAACAGTGCATGGCACATACGTGGTACTCAATAAATGTTAGCTGCTGTATAGTTACTGTCCCTCCTCTGCCATTCCAAGTTCCCGAGCCTCCCCTTCACTCTACCTTGAAGACCCATGTCCCCCCCTCCCCCGTCCTGGCAGGAGCGCACAGGTGAGTGTCTGCAGCGCACCGGCACCAGCGTCACACTCACGTCCGTCAACAACATGGTTGCGTTCTTCATGGCCGCCCTGGTTCCCATCCCTGCACTGCGGGCCTTCTCCTTGCAGGTGAGGCATCACGAATGGGGCCTGGGCTCAGGGTGGGCATGGAGCTGGGGCCATGCTTCATCCAGCTTTGTGCCCGTTCTGTCCATCCCCCAGGCAGCCATAGTGGTTGGCTGCAACTTTGCAGCCGTGATGCTTGTCTTCCCAGCAGTCCTCAGCTTGGACCTGCACCGGCGCCACTGCCAGCGCCTTGATGTGCTCTGCTGCTTCTCTAGGTACCCCCACCCCACCAGACCTTCCTCCCTTGGCCCCATCCCATCCTGTCCCCTCAGCAGCATTTCCAGGCACAGACCTGTCACCCCCTTGCTCTGCCTCTTCCAGCCCCTGCTCTGCTCGGGTGATTCAGATTCTGCCCCAGGAGCTGGAGGATAGGACAGTACCAGTAGGCATTGCCCACCTGACTGCCACAGTTCAAGCCTTTGCCCACTGTGAAGCCAACAGCCAGCATGTGGTCACCATCCTACCCCCGCAAGCCCACCTGGTGCCCCCACCTTCCGACCCACTGGGCTCTGAGCTCTTCAGCCCAGGAGGGTCCACAAGGGACCTTCTAGGCCAGGAGGAGGGGACAAGGCAGAAGGCGGCCTGCAAGTCCCTGCCCTGTGCCCGCTGGAATCTTGCCCATTTCGCCCGCTATCACTTTGCACCCTTGCTGCTCCAGTCACACACCAAGGTAAGACTCCAGGCCCCGGAAGTCGAGCTGGGCCAGGGCAGAGGCTTAGGTGTCTCTGGGCCCCAAGAAGAGCAGAGGGCCTGGCCCACCACCTGAGGGCTCAGGGGCATCCCAGGGCCTCCGGCTTAGTTGCCATCTCCCACAGGCCATGGTGCTGGTGCTTTTTGGGGCTCTTCTGGGCCTGAGCCTCTACGGAGCAACCTTGGTGCAGGATGGGCTGGCCTTGACAGATGTGGTGCCTCGGGGCACCAAGGAGCATGCCTTCCTGAGCGCCCAGCTCAGGTACTTCTCCCTGTATGAGGTGGCCCTGGTGACACAGGGTGGCTTTGACTACGCCCACTCCCAACGCGCCCTCTTTGATCTGCACCAGCGCTTCAGTTCCCTCAAGGCCGTGCTGCCCCCGCCTGCCACCCAGGCGCCCCGCACCTGGCTGCACTATTACCGCAACTGGCTACAGGGTGAGTGGCGAGGAGACCCACAGGGAGGGCTGCTGCAGGCAGGAGCCCCTGGGCCCACAGGCTAACTGTACCCTACCCTCTTCTCCCCCAGGAATACAGGCTGCATTTGACCAGGACTGGGCTTCTGGGCGCATCACCCGTCACTCATACCGCAATGGCTCTGAGGATGGGGCCCTGGCCTACAAACTGCTTATCCAGACTGGGGATGTCCAGGAGCCTCTGGATTTTAGCCAGGTTGGGAAAGGGCTGGAAGGGTCAGGGAGCATAGAGGGGCTCCAGGTCTCATGGGCCCAGGCCTTCAGCCTACTCTGCCTCTGCAGCTGACCACGAGAAAGCTGGTGGACAAGGAGGGGCTAATTCCACCGGAGCTCTTCTACCTGGGGCTGACCGTGTGGGTGAGCAGTGACCCCCTAGGTCTGGCAGCCTCACAGGCCAACTTCTACCCCCCACCTCCTGAGTGGCTGCATGACAAGTACGACACCACCGGGGAGAACCTTCGCAGTGAGTCCGGGGGGAGCCCAGCAACAGCCTCGGCCTGGACCCACACAGGCTCTACCCTAAGGCCCTGCCCACTGCTCCCTATGCTCACTGGCCACTCCTTCCTCTCCCTGCTGCCCCCTCCCCTCCGCAGTCCCGGCGGCCCAGCCCCTGGAGTTTGCCCAGTTCCCCTTCCTACTGCATGGCCTCCAGAAGACTGCAGACTTCGTGGAGGCCATCAAGGGGGCCCGGGCAGCGTGTGCCGAGGCAGGCCGGGCTGGGGTGCGTGCCTACCCCAGCGGCTCCCCCTTCCTCTTCTGGGAGCAGTATCTGGGCCTGCGGCACTGCTTCCTGCTGGCTGTTTGCATCCTGTTGGTGTGCACTTTCCTCGTCTGTGCCCTGCTGCTGCTCAACCCCTGGACAGCTGGCCTCATAGTGAGTCCTTAGAGGAGTGGCCAGAGAGACCCGTGGCTGCCCCACCCTCCCCTGCCCATCCCGTTATCCCTCTTCCCAGGAGCCCTGGGTGAGCCCTGCCCTTCCCAGGTGCTGGTCCTGGCGATGATGACTGTGGAGCTCTTTGGCATCATGGGTTTCCTGGGCATCAAGCTGAGCGCCATCCCTGTGGTGATCCTTGTGGCTTCTGTAGGCATTGGTGTCGAGTTCACGGTCCACGTGGCGCTAGTGAGTACAGGCACGGGGCAGGGGCAGGCCAGCTGATTCAGTGTTCATCAGATGATTATCAAGCACCTACTGTGTGATGGATACTATTCAAGAGTTGGGGCTATAATAGCAATACAGACAATCTTTACCTTCAAGGAGCTTGTATTCTAAGGGCTAGAGGTAGACAGTAAACAAGTAAACAAATAAATAAGCAAGCAGCCATTTCAGTAGAGACGAGGGTACAAAGACCTGACCAGAATGGGGTAAGGACAGAACGGAAGGTGAGAACATGGGAACCAGCAGGTCTCCCAGATGGTTTTACTGTGAAGGAGATCAGAGAAATGGGATGGTAGCTGGGTGGCAAGTGAATAAAGGTGGAATTCTACCAAGACAGAGATGGCAGAACCAAGGCAGGCAGGCCTTTCTCAAGGCGTATTGTCTGGAAGAGGAGGAGTGGGCCGTGGGGTGGGGGCCACAGGACAGCTGGAAGCACCAACATAAACCTGGCCAGACCTCACAAACAGCTCCCTTCTTTTTTTATCCCATAATTTCCCTATTATTATTCTGATTATAAGAACAATATATACTCCTTAGGGAAAAGAAAGTCTGTATGCAGAAAAGTACAAAGAAATAACTAGAAATCCTCTGAAATGCCACCCTGAGAAGTAACTGTTATCCCTTTGGTGTCTGTCCTTCTAGACCAGAGGTCAGCAAACTTTTCCTATAAAGGGCCTGTTAGTAAATATTTTAGGCTTGGCAGGCCATGTAGCTTCTGTTGCAAGCCTGCCACCGTAGCACTAAGGTAGCCACAGACAATAGGCAAGTGAATGGGTGTGGCTGTGTTCCCACAAACCTTTATTTACAAAAACAGGTGACAGGCTGTAGTTTGCCGACCTATTCTAGACATCTTTCTGTGTCTCACCAGACACATCTGTACAGTGTTCCCTGAATGGACTCATGCATGCTTCCTGGACAGTTCCCAGGGACTCAGTTCACCTGGCCTTCTGTGGGCCAAGGCCTGGGCGAGCCCTGGGGACAGATGAGCAAAAGTTGGGGGCATAGAGACCTGGCCTTGGTTGGCTGAGGAGCAGCTCCAGGACCACTTTGTTCCCCCAGGGCTTCCTGACCACCCAGGGTAGCCGGAACCTGCGGGCTGCCCGGGCCCTAGAGCACACATTTGCCCCGGTGACCGATGGGGCTGTCTCCACATTGCTGGGTCTGCTCATGCTTGCTGGTTCCAACTTTGACTTCATCATAAGGTAGGGGAGGGCGCGGGGCAAGGAGGCAGGGCCTGCCTTCGGTGGCAGCAGGGCCTGCCCAGGCTGACCGCCCACCCCCACCCAGGTACTTCTTCGTAGTGCTGACTGTGCTCACGCTCCTCGGCCTCCTCCATGGGCTTGTGCTGCTGCCTGTGCTGCTGTCCATCCTGGGCCCCCCACCAGAGGTGACCATACCCTTTGCTCCTAGCCCAGCAGACAGGGAAGGGACAGGCAAAGGAAGGGACAGACCCAGGACAAAATGCTCTCAGTGCCAATAGAAAGGGCGCAGCTCACAAGGACCCTCCCCATGAGGTGCTGCCAACTGAAGGTGGCATCCTCTCCCTTTGCCCAGATACCTTGTCCCTTTCCCTCAGCCCTCCTGGCTCCTTCATGGGACTGAGCTTAGCCTTTTGGGGTGCAGAGCAAAGTACAGGTTTGCCCCAGGCCTCACTATGCTATCCCTTGTCAGCTCTCATATCCCGCCGGAGGCCAGCAAGGACCCCAGCCTCCCAACAGTTGTGATAAGGCACTGGGGAGGTGCTGAAGGGGACTGCAGCCCTGGTAGCTCCTGGGCTCACTGGGGCTGGTGTCTCCCCGTAGGTGGTACAGCTGTACAAGGAGAGCCCAGAGGTCCTGAGCCCCCCAGCTCCACGGGTAGGAGGGCTCAGATGGGGGATGTCCCCCACTCTGCCCCAGAGCTTTGCCAGAGTGACTACCTCCATGACCGTGGCCCTCCACCCACCCCCACTGCCTGGCGCCTACATCCACCCAGCCTCTGATGAGCCTACTTGGTCCCCTGCTGCCATACCAGCTGCCAGCAGCTCCAGCAACCTCAGTTCTAGGGGACTATGTCCCACAACTGGGTGAAGGAGCAGCTGAAGCACTGGGTGGGTTCCTGAGTGCGAGACGCTCTCATGGAGAGCCCTGCTGCTGTCTGTCTGCATGCCCTCCCCTGACTCAGCCATCACAGACGTCCCTGCTATCAGACAAAACCGCCACCCTCTAGGCTGGGAGCAGCCTTGTGCCCCTGGGTCCTGTGGGCCTGTGCCTGTGTCTGGGTGGGGGTAAAAGCCAGCACTTCAGGCTGCAGTGCAGCCCTGTTCCCTCTCCCGCTCACACGGCTGCCCCCCAGCAGACCAAGCCTGTGGGATCCTCTAGCCAGTCCAGGCCCAGCCCCCTTCTGCTTGGTGACTCCTGGGTAGGCTCTCTGAAGCCCTGCCCACCTCCTACCACATAAATTATTTATATGAAGATGTTTATTTTTGTAGTGTGTGTAGATATTAGCTATGCTGAAAGTTTTATTTTTAAAGAGTGAAATATATTCTATATGAACTCAGCTCAAATGACTTTGGTGCTTTTCTTTCAGACAGACTTGAGAGTTTGCAAATGGAGTTGTCAGGGTCTAAGGTCCTGGGGTTACTCTAGTCCTGGGTGGGAAAGGCCCCAGGTTCTAAATTTTTGTCACATGACTTTGGTCTATTTATTCACCTGGCAACTGAAGACGATGTTCAGCAAACACATATTGGTCATATAGCTGGTACGAGAGTCCAGGCTAAGTGCTTAGTATACAAAATGATACAAATTTTTTTTGGTGTCAAACCCTACCGTGTGGCTTTCAGAGCCATCATAATCCAGCCCTGAGCACCTATCCAGACTCATCTCCCACCTTCCTGTTTCAGCCGAGTGAGGGGCATGGGTGGAAGGGCACAGCCACGCTACAAGTGGGAGGTGAAGTGGGAGCAGATTGGGAAAGTGGCCAGTTGAAGCAGAGATGGGAACAGCAGGGACTGGGGAGATAGTTTAGGAGTTTTATGCCCAGACCAACTGCCTCTGCAAGTCAGCAGTCAGCCTGGCCCCCCAAAGGCATCTTTGGCCAGACAACCAAGGAACCAGATGAGAGAACTGTCCAGAAATTGAGGTTGTGCTAGCAACCAGCGAGGCACTGTATTTAGGCTCTTTGTTCTGTGAAGCTTGAACAGTCCCATTGTACCAGGGCCTTGAAAGTTCTGGCCACACCCTGGGCGAGAGTACAGAGCCCCACCCAATGGGGTGGGAGAGGTCTCTTATTGCCCTTCTCCAGCTATTCCAGGGCTCAGTCTCCACTGACACACATACACACCCTGGGCTCGCGCCACCCCCGCACGAGGCGTGATCCCACCCAGAGAGCACTGCCTTCTCACACCCCACCCCATCGCGCCCAGGGCCAGAAAATCATCTTCTGACCAAAAGTGAAAAAAATAAAAAGACAGGGCCGGCCCGGTGACGCAGCGGTTAAGTGCGCATGTTCCACTTCTTGGCGGCCCGGGGGTTCGCCGGTTCGGATCCCGGGTGTGGACATGGCACCGCTTGGCACGCCATGCTGTGGCAGGCGTCCCACGTATAAAGTAGAGGATGATGGGCACGGATGTTAGCTCAGGGCCAGGCTTCCTCAGCAAAAAGAGGAGGACTGGCTGTAGCTAGCTCAGGGCTAATCTTCCTCAAAAAAAATAAAAATAAAAAAAATAAAAAGACTACAGCTGAATCAACACTAAAATGTCTAAAAAGACTTAAGGAAAGCAGGTAGGTGGCTTGGAACCTAGAGGAGGGGGTAAATCCCGCGCGCCAAGGGGTAGAGGCTGGATTTGGGTCCAGTAGTGTTTGGGTCACTATGGAGGGGCTTTTGAGTGGAACAGGAGAGCTCACTAGGCTGGAACAGTGCAAAAGATGTCAGCCTACCGGGCCGCTTACCAGCTGGGTGACCTGGGAAAGTGAGCGACTCTCACTGAGATTCAGCATCTTCATCTGTGAAATGAGAAGATTAGAGCTAGCTTGTAGGGTGCTGTCTTTTTCTTTCAGCATTTTCATTGAAATCATTTATGTAAGAAATGACTTGGCATCTCATAGGTGCTCTCTTTTTGTAGCTTGTGCAGATGTTAGCTATGCTGAAAGGTTTTTGCTCTGATTGCATGCTTAGGGCACAACCTGAAACATGGAAGGGTATCCAGTTGGAGTTGGACCACCCCAGGAGTGGTCAGTCTTGAGGCAGTGACTACATCCAACTCTGGGGACAAGTCTTGTCTCTGGGGACAGTGACTGCAGACCAGCCCACCCTGTGTGGCACTTCACACTATTCAGCCCTCTGATTTATATACCCTTTCATGGCTCCCCATCACTGACAAAATCCAAGCCTTTTCCAGGCCTAACTCCATCTAGCCTCTGCCATCACCCCAGCTCTCTCTGCCACAGTGCCAGGCCAGACACACCCTCATTCAGACACACCACACTCTACTCTAGACAGGCTGAATTGCTTTCCCTGTTCACCACCCATAATTTCGCATATGCCATTCCCTCTGCCCAGAACACTTTGCCACCCCTCCTTGGTGAAACCATCCTTCAAGATAAATTGAATGCCATCTCCTCCAGGAGGGGTCATGATGTGCCTCCTACGTGGTCCCACGGCCCCTGCGTGTCTGTGCTCGGCCGTTTCCGCTTCTGTCCCTAGAACTAGGGGCTCCCTGCGGGTATGGAATGATGGGACTGGACAGCAATTGAGATTAACACTTCATCCCAGCCTGGTAAGGGACTCCACAGCCGGCGTCGGCGGCACACACTCTTACCTCTCCAGGCAAACCGGGCGCGGTCTCCGGACGTACTCGCAGAGAAGGGAAGCGAGGACTGCGCCCAGGGATCCCCACGGCGCCGCCCGCCCTGACAGCTGGTGTCGCCGACCAGCCCGTAGCCGCCTGCGATTTGCATACCCATGGTGCACCACGAAAACAACGGGTCCACCGTGCTTGAGTTCCAGCCCCACGGGGACTTGTCCACCGTTGTAGGGCATACTGTCCTTTAGAAATACACGGTCTATGTAAATTCCATGCGGGGAGCGCAACCCACGCAGGCACGGAACAACCCTAAGCGTGTTAAGTGTTATCTCGCTCTGGGAGGTTCCAAGCGGAAAACGGCAAGTATACTCTAGTTTCTCTTCAGATCGTATAAATCTTTCGCCTTTTACTAAAGATTTCCGTGGAGAGGAACAATTCTGAGTTTTTAGCCAATTTTTTGAGGCTTCGTTCTTACGAAGCTACTATGTAGTGTTAAATAACAGAACAATTTTTCAGTAGGATGTTCCATTCGCGTGGTGGTTTTCGGGGATGTCGTAAGTCAGTCAGTCCAACGCATGGGTACGTGGGGTTTGTATCTGTCAGGTTGACGTGATGTTGTTCAGATGGACTTAACACGACTCTTGGATTCACTAGAGATGAATAAACATCGCTCACGTTTTTCCGAGCAGTTTTTCCTTGCGTTACAGCAGTAGTCGGTGAAGACAGCAGGTTCTTACCTCCTTCGACTCCCGGGTTGCCAGCCGGAGAGGACAGCTGAAGGCAGTTTGGTGCGACTCCTTTCAGTGTGTTTTTATCCCGCACTCCATGCCAGTTTTCCATGCTGAAGATCCAAGGTTCCTTCTCTTAAGGAGCTTAGTTTTTGAGTGGAGCCAAGCACTGAAAAGCCGAGTAAAAACAGAACCCCGGATAAATATATACAATCTCAGTGAGAAGTGCCGTGCAGAAAACAAGCATATGAGAGAACAGACAGGGCTAGCTACCAAGTGTGTTGTGTCCGTGTGTCCTGGGTCCTCCCTCCCATCTACATCTTCCCAGCAGGGAGCCCGTCTAGTTCTATGACTTTAAGTAAATAAATTCTCATTTCTGATGACTTCCAACTTTACAGCCATCAGCAGGTCCTCTTGACTCCCGTATTCAAAACACATGCTCCATCCAACCACCCTTTACCTCCTCCCCTGCTCCCACCCTGACCCAAGAAGAGCTCTGATGGATTCATGCAAACGCCTCCTCCCTAACTGCCCTCCCAAACCGCATTCCCACTTTGCCCCAATCCTCCACACACAGCCAACTTATTTTTTTAAATGTAAATCAGATAACACACAGCACTCTCCAGCACAAAGCCTTCGAGACACCTTTCCCCAGGACACCTGGCTAATGCCCCTCCTCCTTCAGGTCCCTACTCCAGTGTTATCTGATCAGAGGTCTACACTCAGCACCCTGTATGGAATAGTCCCACTCCTACCACATTGCTGTTTATCCTCGTAGCCTGCTTTATTTTTGTTCAGAGCACAAACCACTCCCTGAAATTACATCATCCATTAATTTCTTTACCTGTCTGCTGTGTTGCCCCTCCTCGGATGTAAGCTCCATGAGGCAGGGACTTGTTCTCTGATGGATTCCAGGCCCCTAAATCAATGCCTAGCCCATGAGCAATCAATGAATATTTCTGGAATGAATGAATGAATAGATTTATTTTCTAAACATATGTTATTTAATCTGTCCCACTACAGTTCTAAGCACTTTACAAAATTAATCTTCCTAAGAACCCTACTAAATAAATTCTATTAGTATCTCCATTTTATAAACAAGGAAACTGAGGCATAGAAAGATTAAACAGCCTTACTCGAGTCACAAAGCCAGAAAGTGGTGGAGCTGGAATTCAAACCCAGGCAGCCTGGTGTACTCTTTTTTTTTTTTTTTTTTCTTGAGGAAGATCAGCCCTGAACTAACTACTGCCAATCCTCCTCTTTTTGCTGAGGAAGCCTGGCCCTGAGCTAACATCCGTGCCCATCTTCCTCCACTTCATATGTGGGACACCTACCACAGCATGGCTTGCCAAGTGGTGCCATGTCCACACCTGGGATCCGAAATGGCGAACCCCGGGCCGCTGAAGCAGACTGTGCGCACTTAACCGCTGCGCCACCAATCTGGCCCCAAGCTTGTTTTCCATTTTCGTTATCCAAACAATGCGTCAGAGAGTAGTACAGTGGGTAACCACATTTTCAGTCTTGAGAGAGAATGCCAAATAGCTATCTTTAATCCATGTGCAACATATTTTTGTATAAAATCCCTGAGACAGAAGTCTAAGTTGATTTTCTTCCAGATAGTCAATTGTCCCTCATTTTAGACTGATAGTATCTTGTTTTACAGCTCCTTTAACGTCTTTATGGAATAAAATAGCATTTAGATAAGGAAATAAAGTCATCACTGAACATTTACTGAGCACTGATTATGTGACAGGGACTAGGGAAGCAGAAATGAGTAAGGCACCGCTCCAGGACCTAGGGATCCTTCTCCAGGGAGATTCAGACCCTCAGGAAGACAAAATGTGTAATGAATGAAAGAGGCAGCATGGGGGGGTCTTCAATAACCAAGAGAGTAAACCCAGAGCTGGAGGACCAGCGCCTGCAGGACCAGTGAATTCATGCAAAGGTAGCAGCTGAGAGAAGAGCTGCTGATATTTGGAACCACTAGGAATTTTGAGTGCCCTGAAAGTGACGCAGATTGTATTTTGTCCTGGGGCGATGGGGTTGGATGTTGAGGGGCTTAACAAGGGGAGTAGGGCTGACAATCTTAGACAAGTCTGGCTGCAGTGTGGGAAATGGAGGAGCGGGGAGTGCCGCTGGAGTGGAGGCAGGAAGACCCCTAAGAGCCTGTTGTAGTGGTTCCTGCCACAGATAGGATTGGCTGAACTGGGGCTGAGAGGCTGAACCAATTGGAAAGATCTTACAGAGGAGGTAAAATAATTTTCTGTCTACGCTCTGAGCTCTTGGCTGAGACCTTTGTAACGAAAGACAGGTTAACGAGACAAAAACAAACAGGAGTTTATTAACATGTATACCTCATGGGAGATACCCAGGGAAAATTTAGTAACTCCCTGAGGCGGCCTAAAATACCTGCTTAAATACCATCTTCAGCTAAAGACAAAAGAAAAAAAAGTGTGGGGAGGCCACCAGGAAAAGCCCGGCCGGCAAGGCTAAGGGTAAGCAGATTTCCGTGGGTGCCGCCTCCACCGAGGAGATTCTCTTGTTAGTCATCCTTCTTTTCCTAGTACAGAGAGGGAGACACCCTTACAAACGATTTCCTTCATAAATTCCCCTTACAAAAGGGTAATTTCTATTGTTTTCACAGCTTCTCCGGTTTCTCAAAATAATCAGCTTAAAATAATCCTTATGCCAAAGAGGCCTATCTTGGGGTGACATATTCTGCTACCCTTCAGCCTCTTAGAAGGTAGATGCCACGGGAGGCAGATGTGAGGAAGAGGAAGAAGGCAAGGATGAGATCCAAGATTCCCGCTGGGACACCCACGGTGATGAAAAACACGACGGGGGGCAGAACTTGGGAAAGACGAGGAGGGAGCTCAATTTGGGGCTAAGTCTGAGGTGTCTGCGGGGCATTTAGAGCGAGGTCTCCAGGAGGCAGGGCTGGAATTAAAGAGGCGGCTGACCTGAGAAGATACGTCAAGAAGGCCCAGGGACCGGGTGCAGAGTCAGGGTATGACGCGAAGGAAATAACTTTTGGGTTTTGGCGGGTGGAGAGCCTGGGCCCAGCCCAAGTCCACGTGCACCCCTCCCGCGCCACCCCCAGGGCGCTGGGCAAGGCAGAGAGCGGTCCTGCCGGCGCCCCGCTCGCAGGGCATGCTGGGAGCAAAAGCCCGCTCCGAGCGCCGAGCTTGTCGGGAGCTGTAGTTTGGGACAGGCCCAGAGTTCCCGGCAAGTCGCGGCCTTTGGTCACTTAAAGGGCAGATCCAAAAAGCGGTGATGCTCCCGGGGCAGGGTTCCTCTCCGGCGGCGGCACCGGGCGCCCCGGGCCGCATCCCCTCTCCGCAGAGCGTGGCACTTCCACGCCTCCACGATCTGCTCCACCTGCAGGGGAAGGCCGGTCATCGTGGTGTCCCGCAGTGCCCCCTCACCCCGCAGACCCTGGGCCGCTTCCCCTGCGCCGTTCCCCACGGTGCTGAGGAGATCTGAGTCTGTTCCCCGCTTCCGCACCGGGATGAGCGGTTCCTGCCGGTTCTGCTCTTCCAGGGCGCTCAGCTCCGCCGGGGCCAGCAAGGCCAATCTCAGCTCCTGCACCACTGGGGCCGCCACCTCGGCCACAGGCCGCTCCAGCACTGCCTGCGAACACCAACCTTGAGCACCTGCCCCGCCGCCCGCTCACCCGTTCCTGTCGCCCGAGCCTCCTTCAGCACCCCCACCTCGCACTCCCCTTAGGCTAGCTCACCGCGCCCACGCGCGCCCAGCTCCGGGCCGCCAGGACCAGCTCAGCCTCGTCCACGCAGAGCTTGTCGCTGCGCAGCAGGGGCAGCAACGCGGGCGCCGACAGCTCCAGGAAGCCGCGGGTTCTGAGCGCCTCCTGTGGGTCCGCGAATGGGTCAGGGAGGAGCAGAATGAGGTGTGCGGGGTTGGGAGTATGCAGGTGGGAACTGTACCTGGCTGTGGGCCTCTATGAAGGCTATGCAACGCTCCTGCAGCGGCCCCAGGCCAAAAGTTACGGCAACCTGGGAGCAGAATGACGGAGGTCAGGTTGATGACTGGAGAGGCCATGGAGCCCCAGCCCACCACACTGAGGACTACCTACAAGCCTGTCCAGCAACAAACACCCACCTGCAGGGCCTCACAAACCAGCTCCACATCCAGCACCTTCACCACAAACTCCAGGCACAGCTGGAAACAGAAATGAATATGGGTTGTGCTGAGGTGTCCCTGCTCCAAGACCCCAGACCCACCCCAGAAGCAGTGAGCAGGGCTGGAGCAGGCCCCTGGCAGCCCCAGGCCCTTCCTGACCTCCCAGGCCGGGGGAGGCCGGCAATCACCAGGATCTGAGACTGGGCAAGCCCGGGCAGGGTGGGGGGTGGGGGGGACAACGATGGGAGGACGCATGGACTAGGGATTAGCAGGGCCAAGCCCAGCAGCCCCCCCCTCCAGCACATTCCCCACTAATCAGACTAGATAAGAGCCATTCAAAATCCCACTCTCAGGGGGCCGCCCTGTGGCCCTGTGGTTAAGTTCATGGGCTTTGCTTTGGCGGCCCAGGGTTTCACCAGTTCGGATCCTGGGCGCAGACATGGCACCACTCATCAGGTCATGCTGAGGCAGCATCCCACATGCCACAACTAGAAGGACCCACAACTAAAAATACACAACTGTGTACCAGGGGGGCTTTGGGGAGAAAAAGGAAAAATAAAAATCTTAAAAAAAAAAAAATCCCACTCTCCCTTTCTTTCAGGATGCTACGAAGACACTTCTGTTTTAACCAGAAACTTGAATTTCATCCATGACAGCTCCCTCTCACCCTCACGTCCAGAAAAGCACTGGCTCATGCCAGTTCCACTTCTCTCAAAGCCACGCGCCTCACTCTTGGGCTTCCACTGCCACCTCCACCCCCACTAGCCTGGTGAGCCCCCCCTACCTCTCCCAGTCCCTCTCCCCTGAGCTGCCAAATCCTCACTCACCTGAAACCTCCAGTGACTCTCCACTGCCCTCTGGGTCAAAGAAGCCCAAATTCTTGAAGATCCTGCATGACCAGCCCCTGGCACCCTCTCCAATCTCATCTCTCCCTCCTCTCCTCTCACATTCTAAGTCCAGCCCCACTAAATGTCTCAATAGCTCCTTTTGTGCCTCTGTGACTAGAATGCCATCTTTCCATTCCCCCTATGAACAAACTCCTATCAATTCTACCTGATCCAACACAAATGTTTCCTCCTCCAGGAAGCCTTCCCCTCCTCTCTCCCTGGTGGCAAGACTAGAGACACCCTCCGTACAGTCTCAGCACCTTTTACCCTCACCCATCACACTTCTTATGCCACCGAGTGAAGAGTTTTCATGTGTCTGTCTCTCTTTGAAGAACAGGAATAGGGGCTAACTTATCCTGGCATCTACAGCACCAGCCATAAACACCCCCTATGCCTCCAAGGCACACACGTATCCTTTTGCACACAGGCCCACACAAATGTCTATTCACACAGAGAGACACCCATAATTCTCTCTGTATTGGTCCATATTCCTCTCCAAGCCAGAATATGTGTGAGGCAGGGTATGAACTGAACCCATAAGAGGCAAGGGAAGCGAGCCAGGGCCCGGCACATAAACGCACCTCACGCAGTTCCTCCAGCCCGTACTCCAAAGCCGCAGTCAGCACCTCCAGCACCTGCAGAGGGGGTGGTTGCCGGAAAGGAAGGGAGTTCCCCTTGTCCCTCAGCCCATCGCCTCCCTCGCCACCCAGCCCTCTGCCCGATGGGCTCACAGAGTGGCGGTGCAGCTTGACACTGTTGGTGTACAGGAACTCCAGCACTGCCAGGAAGGCCTCGGCTGGCACAGTGCTTAGGACCACGGGGCTAGGCAGCCCGGGGCCCAGCTCTGGGCCCAGAAGTCGCTGGAAGAAGTTGCATCTACAGGCCAATAAGCACCGGTGGGCAAACACCTCCTGCCGTTCTTGACCGACCACAAAGCGAACATCACTGTGGGGAGAGGGGCAGAGAGCCAGGGGAGAAGAGGCCAGAGGCTAGGGTGCAACTCTAGGCTTAGACTTGGCCCACTTGGGGCCTTCGTTTTCTTGTCTGTCGTAGAAGAGACAGGGCTTAGTCCTTCCAGCTGAAGGTCTGGGACACGCAGGCCTGGGTTCTTGTCCCAGCTCCACCCTACGATACCTCAGCAAGTGACTTCCTACCTTGGAATCTCAGGTTCCTCACCCATGAAATGGCACGGTAATCCTAAACCCTCAAGTCTCAGAGGAGCTGGCTATGCTTGATCACTGAGGGAGCACCAGGGCTGATGCAAGACTGATCCCACATACCCCCCTCCCCACCTCCTCCCCCTATGAAGGGAAGCTCTTCCTTCATAGACTGCAAAGTCAGCTTTTTTCAGCCTCCTCCAGGCAGGAGGGGGTGGAGGTGCAGAGTGCACTGGCAGCAAACTGACACGGCAGGCAGTGATGCAAAATCATGAGGCCAAACCACATTTTCCATCTTCATGATCACTTCCGGCCCCAGCCTCTGGGCCTCTGAACAACATAAGGGGTAGGAGGGTGAAGATGAAGCATGAGCTTCCTGGAGCCTCCTAGTCCCAGGTCCAAGCCCTGGGGTTCCCACTACTTAGATCAGACTGCAATCCTCAAAGCAGTAGGGTTATTTGAGTCACCAGCCATTGGGGAGGAGCCCAGCTCCAAGGCAGTATGGACAGAAAGCTGCATTCTATTCTACTGACCAGCCCTGCCCCACACTCCATCCCTGCTTTCAGACATCACTAGCACCCAGAGAGCCCCAGGCAGCAGCCTTGAATCACTTCCTGTCTGAGACTGACTCAATCTCTAGAGCTTTGTTCCTCTTGTGAATCCCCAGTTCCCAGAACAGGGTCATCTGCTCCTCTGCCTCCCCAGGGAAGGACTCAAATTACATCCCATCTCTCAGGATCCAGAGGGCAGAGGGCTCTTCTTCTCTGCCAGGAACCCAAGATCCAAAAAAGGAAGGCCTTTGCCTGAGGTCACACAGCCACTCCAGGCTCCAGCTCCCAGTGCCCCCCCTCTAGCTCTCAGGATATCGCGGACACTGAGTGACCAGCAGCCATCCTCTCCACGTGACTTCCCCAGACTGAGTTCACCAGGGAAGAGGGTCAAGTCCTAATTCCCCACCTCTGCATTACCCAAGCTTCCTCAGAGTCATGGGGCCCAGCAGAGGAAGCTAGGGAAAACCCAGACAGGAAGCCAGGGAAAACCCACTTCCTCACCTGTATAGGGGATTGTTGATGAGGCTTCGGAGTGCTGTGGAAAAGGGCGCAGACTCCCCATGCACAACCAGTCCTGGGATCTCCATGGGTGGGGCGGGGCAGGGGAGTAAGCGGGTGGAATACCCTAGGAGACCTCTTGTCTGTTGGTCTGTGGGAGGCGGTAGAAGGGAAGGAGCAGGAGGCCTGGCCAGGCCCTAGAGCTGGTAAGGAGACTAGAAAGGCTTGAGAGGGAGGGGCAGGAGCTTGGGAGGCCGGATTGCTGAGAAACTAAAGTTTAGAGACCAGGCAAGAGAGGCCCAGGTTCCTGAAGAAGGCATCAGAGGCCGGTGGAGGAGGCGAGAGGCTCGGCTTGGGGATGGGAACTCAGGGAGGGGGCCAAGAGAGGCCAAGGTGGAGTGGACAGGATCGGGGAGGAGAGGCAGGCGGTGGATGAGGCCCCAGTTGGGAGCCTGCCCAGGCAGCCGGGGTGGGAAGCCTGTGAGTTTCCACGGAAACTGGAGCCCAGCCTGAGAGGAGGCCCCGCCCATCTCCCACAGGCACTGGGAAAACTTTAGCCCTCAGAGGAGCCCTGAGCAGACAGAGGGTCTTAGCACCCATGGTCCCTGCCTGTCCTGGGTTCAGAGTTCAAACTCCCTGTCCCTCCTAACCCTCCCCGCACATGTACACAAGGTCAGGATCAGGATAGCCAGGCCTGGGGAACCCCCTCCACAGGGAAAGTCCTCACCCCCATGGACAGTCAGGGACCAGACCTGGCTTGTTTGGGAGGGGGCAGTCTTGTCCCTCCCCAAGGTGGGTCAGGTGAGGAAGTGTCAGCTCTGACACAGGTGTCATGGCCTCTGGCATCCCTGAAATGCAACTGCGGTGGGCGGGGCAATGTGGGCACTATGGCACACAAGAGGTTTGGCCAGCTGGGGACAAGCCCCAGGACGTTGGGTCAGCAGGGGTCAGGAGGCTGCCAAGTGGAGTCACGACTGTTGCATCAGGTCTGGCTGCCAACAGCAGAGCCGACAGACCTCCCCTCCCCCTGCTCACAGCCTTGAGCTGAGGAAGTCATCCAAGCCCCACCCTAGCGGAAATGTTTGTCCTTGTTGAGGCTGATGGAGAGACGATAGAACCATGACGTGCTCCTTCCTGTGGGCCTGAATCCTGATTCCTGAGCAGCCACCCTCACAGCCTCAAGGTCTCCCCATATCCCAGGCCTCTGCAACTTGCTCACAGGATTGAAGAGCCAGGCTTCACAAGGGTAGAAATAGACAGTGGCTCAAACGGGGGGGAGGACACCTTTCTGACCAGAGCCCCTCTCCATCTGCCGCCTCAGTTGTCCTTGTCACGGTAGTATGCCCCTGGGGTCTAAACCCCTGCTGTCCCCTCTCCCCTTATGACTCGGGCACCCCGCATTGAGCACGTGCTCGTGGTAGTACACTCCCAGGTTAAGCCAGAGCCAGGACTGGAGGGAGGGAACCAGGAAGGGAGGAGTGCTTGCCCAGCAACCCATGGCAACCCCACAACACAGGCAAGGGGCCCTTATCCTCCCACCTGCCCATCAGGACTGTGGAGCTAGGAGAGAGCTCGGAGGCCAAAGGCTGCAGGTGACTCAGGTGCCTGTGGGAGTTTCGGTCGGGAGAATAGGGCAGCCATCCCAGAAGTGATTCTGGAGGTAGGACCAGAGGCCAAAAGCAGAGGGTGGAAGGAGCTTCCTGAGTCACCTGCCCCCAGCCTCAGCCAGTTACGGGGGAGATCTTTGTGCCAGCCACCCCAGGAGCAGGCAGGTGTGGAAGATGGCTGGATTCAATACCCACAGGGCTAGAAGGATCCATGGGGTTGAAAGAGCTGGGTCTGTCTGTCCCTCCCCTGTGGTTAGGGGTTGGAGGCACCATCTAGCTGGGGCAAAGGGCAGATATAGCTTCCCCTTCTCCTGCTGGCGAAGTCAGGGGGAATGGAGAACAGGAGGTGTACTGAGAGCTCATGAGCTAACCTCCACAGTGCCCGCGGGGGGAAAGTGGGGCTCAAGGGCAGGGACTAGCCCCAGATGACAATCTGAGCAGCATCTCTTCCCTTGCTTATGTCCCTAACAGCCCTTAATCTCTAAGCACCTAGGAATCCACACAGCCCCGGACTATTTGATTCACCTGTCCCAAAAACACAGGTAAGAGGTTAGGGGTAAAAACCCTTATCACCGAGTAAGAGACAAGTTGGTGCACAAGGAAGGCCAGTGAAGGCCATCCTGTCCAAGTGTGGGTCTTCCAGGCGGCAGGTCCATGGCTGGCAGGCCTGTGCTCTCCGGACTCCAGGAGGAGGAGACTGCCAAAGATCCTGGGCCGAAACTGTCACCGGTGCGGCCCCCAGGCCGCCTGCCCAGCATTGATGAGGCCCGACCAGCAGGCCCGGGCCCGGCCTCCCGCCGCAGCTCCATACTGGGCCTGGTCTCGTCCTTTTCACGCCGCAACTCACTGGCCGGACCAGGCCCGGGTCCCGGGGTTCGGCGTCCGTCGCTGGGCCCCGTGCCCCCTCTAGGTTCGCGGGTCAGCTTCTCGGGGTTGCCCCTGGCGCCGACGCGTCGCCTGGCGCCCTCTTACCGCATGGAGCCGGCGCCAGGGCAGCGCTGGGAGGTCGCGCGCGCGCAGCGGGCACTGGAGGCGGCGCTGGCCGCGGGGCTGCGCGACGCGCGCTACTCGGGCGCCGAGGCCGGGCCGCTGGCGCGGGAGCTGTGCGAGCTGGTGCGCGTGCGCGTGCGCGAGCTCAGCCCGCCGCGCTACAAGCTGGTGTGCAGCGTGGTGCTGGGGCCGCGCAGCGGCCAGGGTGTGCGCGTGGTCAGCCGCGCGCTCTGGGACGCGGCGCGCGACGGGCTGGCCTCCGCCACGTTCACCAACGCCACGCTCTTCGCCGTGGCCACGGTCCACGGGCTCTACTGCGAGTGAGGAGGCCTCGAGATTCTGCAAAACCGTTTATTCTCCCAGGAAAAAGCCTTCCCTGGGGCCCCCATCTGAATAAATAAATGTCTGTCAATAAATAAAAGTGGTCCATAAATAACGCCCCCTAGCTGGGGGCTAAGGCTCAGGTTTTTCTTGGAGAAGGGGTTGGACGCAGTTAGGACAGGTAGCCTCCAACCCCAGTAAAGCTGGTCCCTGATTTCCTGGGGGATTTGGCCCAGAGCCCCCAGTGAGGCACCAAAGAGACAGGGAGGGCCATAAAGGCAAGGGCCAGAGCCCCACAGGCACAGGCCTCAGGCCCGAGGGCTCGGGTGGCGGCCTGCTCTGCGGGTTGGGGCCTAGGTTGGGCAGCGGTCCCGGAGCAGGCGCAGAGCATAGCCCAACCGCTGCCGCAGGTCTGGGGAGCAGCCCAGCTGTCGAAGGTGGGAGGCGAGGTAAGTGCAGGCGCTGCGATTGCGGGCCACAAAAGTCACCAGGAGAGGCTCCCAGCCACTAAGGATCAGCTTGGTGTGGTCTCCATAGAAGTTCACCTGTGCACGGGAGGTGGCACTGATCAGAGCCTAGGCCCAGGTCCAGTTTCCTCCCCAGCACCCTGGGCCTCCCAGACCTTCCCCCCAACTCCAGGCGAGGCTCTTACCTGGACAGTGCCATCACTAAACAGCATGAGTAGGGCCTGGTCAGTCTTGACCCACTGCAGCAGAAGTGGGGGGACAGGCACCTCCACTTCTTCCACACTGGGCAGATCTCCACCCTGGGAGCAACGGCAGGTCACTTGTCTCACATAAGTCAGGCCCCTCCCCATCGATGTCTCCCTTAGAGGTTCAGCCTCTAGCACTGAGCACCCCCCAAAGGAGAAGAGGAAGGGATCAGGATGTGTTAGTCCTCAATGTGCCCCACCCCAGTCCACACACCTTCATGAGGCGCTGCTCCATGTAGGAGGCGAAATAGCGCAGGACACCCAGCTGAGGCTGCAGGGCCCGGGGCACAGCACCCACGGAGAAGGAGAAGTGCTTTGTGCTGGTGGGGTTGTAGTGCACAGTCCTGGAGGGGAGGAGACAGAGGTCAGAGGGAGCCCTGCACCAACACCCCTCCAAGAGACCCCAGGCCCCCGAGCCTGGGAGCACACGCCAAGGTGCAGCCCTGCTGGGGACAATGGTCTGGATACAAGGCCCCCCTAACAGCACTTACTTTCTGTTGGCTGACAGGGCCATGTGTGTGCCATTGTTGAAGAGCACAGCCACACGGCGGCTGGACAGCTGATATCCAAAGCCAAACTTGTTGGAGTAGTCAACCCACTTGCTGACCCACACCAGAGGCTCTGGCTGTGCCAGGGGAGCCGGGTTCTGTTCCGCTGCCGTGGGAGAGGAAGGAGAGAGGACCTGTTCCTGGCTGCCCAGCCAAAGAACTCCCACCACCATTCAGGAGTATCAGGCTCCACCCATACCTGGGGGCATGAAGGCCAGGCAGTTTCTCAGAGCACAGAGGGCTGACTCTACCACTGTGGCCACAGTCAGACCTTCTTCAAACCCTGAAGGGAACAGAGCACTGGGGATCAGGCATTAGCTCCTGAGGACCCAGGCCATATCCCTCTGCTGTCTGCTTCCCTCTCGTGCCTGGCCTCAGCCACAGCCACCTCTAGCACCTCTCATTCTCCAGGCTGCTCACCATCTCCACTACTCGCCAATGTCCCACGCGGTGAGCTGTCTTCAAGTGCTGTCTCTACCAGGCTGACGGGGGCTGGACCAGAAGCTGCTGGAGCCTGGGGGGTTGGGTAGGGGAAGGCCCCGAAAGCCACATCATTGAGAGTCCCTGGCCCAGCCTTGCCCTGGCACCCAAGGTCAGCCCCGCCTAGCTAATGAGGCACAGCCAATTAGGCCACCACGAGGCCAGGTGCTTCACCAGCCTCTTTTATCCCGGGCTTCGCGCAGCTGCTACGGTGGGGGTGAGTCAGGGAACACTGCCCACGTGAGCACCTCACCTCGGGCCTGGCATCCTGATGGCCAATGGATGTCCGAGTGAGGCCGTTCGCCAGACAGGACACCTCGTCCCGCTCCTCAGGATGGTTCTTACCTGAGTGGGGGGAGACACAGCCCTCAGTATCCTGCCCAGCCCCGCTGGTTCCCACGGGGATGCTACAGATAGGCAAGCCCAAGTGCCTGTGTAACACACTCTCCCCAGGGGTCACAGGCACTCCACACCCTCACAAGGTATCTAACAAGCCCCCCTGCCACTCTGTACCCTCAAAACCCCTGACATTCCAGACTCACTCTTGTTCTTCTTCCTGCCAAAGAGGCTCTTAGTGACTTTGACAAACAAAATCTTAGCTGCATTAAGGGGTATCAGGTCCGGGACTGTCACACAGCTGCTGACAGGGAGCCGGTCGGGGGTGTAGCCCTGAAGAGGAAGTCATGTGAGTAGAGAAAAGAGGCCCCAGGGGTCCTGTCACCTGCTACCCTTCAATTCCCTGAGAATATGCAGACTAGACTTAGGTGTCTGCTAAGCCAGAGACCTTGGTAAAGAAGTCATGGCGCAGGATCTGGTCAATTGAGGGGCGGTCTTGGGGCGAGGCTCGAAGGATGGCGGCCAGGAGCTGCCGCGCAGGCAGTGAGAGGCTGGCGGGCAGCGTGTAGTGGACCTGTTTGATGCAGCGGTACGTCTCCTTCAGGTCAACTGTCTCAAAGGGGGGGCTCCCACATAGCAGCGTGTACCTGTGGGGCAGAGAGAAGTGGGTCAGGAGTAGAGCGGAAGGTATGCCCCACTCGTCCACACACCTGTGTGCAGATGACCCTGAGACTCACATGACACAGCCCAGGGACCACACGTCTGCCTCGGGGCCGTGGCCCTGCCTCTGCAGCACTTCCGGAGCCACATAGTTGGGGGTGCCACAGATGGTCCTGAAAAGGGGTAGGGAGGAGGAGAGGGGAGGGTTCAGACCCAGCCTGGCTAGCCCCTCCATCCCTGCCCCCCACTGTGAGTCCAGACAAAGCAGCTGCCTGTCACCAAAGGCCAGAAAACTCCTGCTTGTCCTGGGACAATGGATGCTGGGGATGGCAGCTGAGTCTCCGCCCACCCGCCTGGCCCAGCTGCTCAGCTGCTCTGCAGGACATGGGGAGGCCCTGACCGCCAGCCCGGTCCCCTCCTCCAGGGTCAACAGAGGATCCATCACTGATCCCTTCCTCCTTCCCCCACTCCTGTCTGTCAGACACCCATACAGGCTGTCACCTCCTACAGTCTGTGCCACACACACCAACACCAGCTGTCACATCCCTCATAAACACGCATCTGCCACATGCGCTATCCATGTCACTCATACCCAGTCATCGTGGCCACAGCAGGGTCTTTTTACACAGACACAGGGTGTCATGTCCTGCCGTCTCCATACTCTCAGTCTGTCTCACACACACATTGCTTACGTCACCTTCCCCTGTCCACACACAGGATCAGTCATATTCCTCCAAGAATCCTTACACCCCCATCTGTCTCAGGGACTCAGACATCCATAGGCCCCTCAGCCTCTCCACCAGTCCCGGTAACGCAGGCTGCCACTCCATCTTCACACATACACACAAACAGCCCATTATGCCTTCCCCACCTATCTCACACACACATCAGGAAGTCATCCCACCTCCCACATACATACACACTATCTGTCTTGCACGTCATCCCTGTCACATACCGACTGTGGCCACCCCCCCGCCCCCAAACACTCACTTCTTCCTCTGCTCTGGGGGCTCCAACCGGGTTGCCAGCCCAAAATCCCCCATTTTCAGTTCCATGTTCTCGGTGATAAAAAAGTTTCCTGGACGGGGGCAGAGAAGTGTGTCAGACTCCTTTCTCTCTGCCTCCCCGCACCCCCATCCTGCTGGCCCAGGAGTCTCACCCAGCTTGAGGTCTCGGTGCAAGATGCCCTTCTGGTGCAAGTACTTGAGTCCGGAAAGGATCTGCCGCAGGTAGTAGCGCACCTCGGGCTCCAACAGGGTGTGCCGGGCCTTCCAGATGTGGGCCAGAGACTGTGGAGAGCGCCTACCTCAGCCCCTGGTCCGCCCTCCCCGACCCTCCCTCCACCTGTCCTTGCTGCGGAAGAGTCAGGGCTCCAGGTTTGAATCTTAAGGCTCCCTTTCCCTCGCCACCGCCGCCATCACCTCCCTCACCTTTCGGCTGCAGAGCTCCAGGAAAATGTATATATTGTCAGCATCCTCAAAGTGGTGCGAGAAACGCACGATGTGGCGGTGCTGCAGGCCGCGGTGAAGCTCAATCTCGTTTAGGATCTGTAATGGGGGCACGAGGTTGTTATCCTTCAAGGACTCCAACGCCACCGTCCCCACTCCACCCCTTGTCCACTTGGCCTGGGCCCCGGGCCCACCTTCTCGCGCTGATGCGGCTTGGTGATGCGGCTCTGCGAGATGACTTTGACCGCGTAGGCATTGCCGGTCTCTCTGTCAGTGGCCTCATAGCACCGGGCGAAGCCCCCCTAGGAGGAGGGGGCATCAGGCAGGACGTTCCAGCGGAGGCCAGACCTGACCCGCAGATGTCCCCGCGCGGAGGACAAGCGCTCCCACCCCGCCTGGCGCTGGTAGAGGCAAGCAGGGCCTCTCTCCACCCTCGCTAGCACCACCCCCCAGCTTACCTTGCCCAACAGGCGGCCTTTGAAGTAGGTGCGGCCGCTGCACGGGTCCGTGATGAGGCGCCCAGAGTCCGGCGCCGGTGGCGCGGCCAGCATCTCCAGCTCAGGTCCGGGCATGGCACTCGGAGGCGGCCCGGGCCCAGCGGGTGGCGCGGGCGGGGCGTCCGCACGCGGGAAGGGGCGCGGGGACAGGAAGCCGGCGGCAGGCTCCATGCTGGTGGCGCGTCGCAGCGCAGGCCGGGCTTGTTCTCGATTCCGCCCGGCCCGGGCCACGCGTGGCGCTGCCTGGATTTGCTACGCTGCGCTCGCGCCCGAGGGAGCCGGGCGTATTTATCAATGAACGCCAGCACCCTCCCCGGCGTGTAGTCATTAAGAGCCCGCCCCCTTCCTGGCGGCGAGTCACAGGGAAGCCACGCCCCTCCCCTGGCTTTACGTCATCAAGAAGCTCCTCCTCCCACCCGACTCGCCTCGAGGCCCCGCCTCCTGCTCACGGCTTAAAGACGCAGGCTATACTGCCACTCTCCGTGCGGGTGTGAACAGGTCGTAGGGTCCAGCCGTTTCCCCGTCCCCGCACCACCCTGCCCTGGTGGCTGACAGTCCCGCTAACAGTCGCCCCCTTCTTTCCCCGTCCTTCGGGGTTTATGCTGGGCATAAGTGGGCAGTGGAGCTGGGCATCTGGGCAGCCTCCCCAGTAACTAGATGTACTGTGGGGGAAGTGGCACGACGCTCGCTTTCCCCTTTAAGCGCGCGGGACCGTGCGCTCTTCCTAGGCTCTTGGCAAGAGCGCCCAGGCCCAGCCCAGTGCTGCCCCCTTTAGGGCCTGGAAGGAATTGCACACTCCTGAGCCTGGCTTGCGGGGTCGCATTGTGGGGGTGGGGCTGCCATGTTAAATTTTGGGGTCAAGCAGAATTTGGCATTCAATGCTTTTACTATGCGCCTGTCTGCATCTTCTGATACCCACTCCCACACTCTTGAGCGGCAGATCTTAGGTTCTAGCAGGGTCTCCTGTTCCCTTTCCCTAAAAACACCCGCTGCCCTAAGCCCGCAGCCAAATGGCTAGAAAGTGAAGAATGGGAATTGGACTTTCTCAAATCTAGCGATGGACAATTGGGCAGGTGGTCCCGAGGCCATCTGGACTCCTAGACCCCTGGTCCAAGTTCTCCCTTCCCAGAGCCAGAGACAGACAGAGATGGGGTCTTAACCCCTCTGGAGTGTTTGTCCTAGGATCACAGGCTTCCTCCTGGCCTTCTTGTCCTTCGTGCCTCTCTGCCCTCACTCTGTACCATCCAATCAATTATTAAGCCATTCAGTCCTCAAAGATTTATTGAGAGCACCTGCTAAGTGCCAAGCACTGTCTGAATAAGACTGATCAAGGCTGTAGCCCTCATTTAGTTTACGTTCTGCTTGATGGAAATAGACAATGGGCAAGTATATAAACAAGGTAATTGCAGGCTGTGAAAAGTGCTATGAAGGAAGTAAACAGAAGAGCTTACTTTAGCAAGAGTAGCCAGGAAAGTCAACAAATGTTTATTGAGTACCCAATCCCTGTCAGTTTTATCTCCCAAATATCTCCAAAATCTATCCACTTCCGTCCATCTTCCCCTCACACCCTAATCCGGGTCACAGTCTCTCTGGTTGGGATTGTTGCTATAGCACCTTCCTGGTCTCCTTGGCTTTAGTTTCATCTGTTCATCCTCCCTCCATATGGCCATCCCACCCAATCCCTCATCAGGCCCACAAGGGCCCACTCTCTAACCTTGCCCTTCATGGCCACTGAAGGGAGAACCAAAACAGCCTGAGATGTGGGGAAATACTGGTAGCTCAGATGAGTGAGGGAGACTGGGGGACGGGCGTGGGCAGGAAGGACTTAAATGCCATACGCAGGAGTTCGATCTTTATCCTGCAGGTCAACAATTTTCCTGGGGGGAGATGGTACTAGTGGGGTCAGAAAAGACAAATCCGCAGGAGAACTGGAGCTGAGGCATGTATAGTTTGAAAAGGCATATGTGATGCTGCAATTTTATATTTGGAAAATAAAGCAAAATGTCTTTGTATTAGTTTGCTAGGGTTGTCATAACAAAATACCACAGACTGGGGCCGGCCCTGTGGCCGAGTGGTTAAGTTCGCGCACTCCACTTCAGCGGCCCCAGGGTTTCACCACTTCGGATCCTGAGCACGGACATGGTACCGCTCATCTAAGCCATGCTGAGGCAGCGTCCCACATGCCACAATTAGAAGGACCCACAATTGAAAATATACAGCTATGTTCCGGGGGGGGAGGTGGAGGGCTTTGGGGAGAAAAAGGAAAAAAAAATAAAAAATCTAAAAAAAAAACAATACCACAGACTAAGTGGCTTAAACAACAGAAATTTATTTTCTCACAGTTCTAGAGTCTGGAAGTTCAAGGTCAAGGTATTGACAAGGTTGATTTCTTCTGAGGCCTGTCTCTTGGTTTGTAGACGGAGGTCTTCTCCCTCTGGCTTCACATGATCTTTTTGGCTGTGTCCTAATCTCTTCTTCTCATAAAGACACCAGTCAGATCAGATGAGGGCCCACCTTAGGCCCCATTTTAACTTAATTACCTCTTTAAAGGTCCTATGGCCAAATACAGTCACATTCTAAGGTAATGGAAGTTAGGACTTTGTACTAGCGTCAAAACTACCTCCACCTATCTTAGGTTTTCAGATGGGGCTCTTCAACAAAAAGACAGATTAACAGAAGAAAAACAAACAAGTTTATTAACATGTATAATTTATGTACACATGGGAGATATCCAGGGGAAAAACGATTAACTCTCCCATGTGGCTTAGAATTCAGGCTTAAATACTATGTTAATAGGGAAAGGGGAAGGGGAGCGTAGGCCTCCAGGGGAGAGTAAATGATTTCTGGGAAGATGAATGGGCCCTTAGAAGAGTGGATGGGAGATATGACAGTCTGTGACTCAGTTGGTCTGGATGTGGGACACATAGACTTCCAGTCTCCTCTCCTGTGATATGAAACTCCCGGGAAGGGAATTATGACCATTGAGTTTCCTCTGAAGGATCTGTCTTTAGGTATATAAGGGGAGTTTAGAGAAAGCCTCTCTCTGCATTTGCTGTTTTTCAAGTGTCTACAGCTCAAAATAATATGCCAAAATGGCATATTCTGTTACCCTTCACTGACTTCTCTCCTTGGGAAGTTAAAGAGATTCTTGAGCCCTCCTCCAGAGCCAGGACACCTGAAGGGCATCCTCCTGGACGCTGTATCTGAGGGGCCTGGCATCCTGCTCTGCCTCTTCCCTCAGTGTAACACATGCTACCATTATGCACCTGCTGTGTACCAGGCACTGGGCTAAGCATTTATCTTATTGACTGCTCACAGTAACCTTATGATGTGGATGTGATTATTATCCCCATTTCACAGATGAGGAAACTGAGGGTCAAGGGTTAAACTTTTTGCCCAAGGTCATATACAGCTACGAAGAGGCAGAGTCAAGATCTGAACCCAAGATGTCTGACTCCACTATTCACCAAACCTGACTTTTTTTGGGGGGTCACTTGTTCTCTGCCCTTGTACCTGTCCTACTACACTGCTGCATGTCTCCATGTCCTGCTTACTAATGCCCTTTCTCATCCCCCAAGACTCTCACAACCTCTGCCCAAGCTGAGTTCTTCTGAGCTCTCTGGGGCTCCATTCCCCAGAAGCTGCTGTCAGGCCCACTGCCCCTAGTTGAGGACATATCCCACACTCCTTGCCCCCTGGCAGCTCAGAGTCAGAATCTCTTGACAGTGTCAGGTCACAGAGGTCAAGGAAGTCTCTCAAGAATGAGAGATGCCAAGAAGGGTAGGACTCAGGAGGGGGCTACTGGATTCAGCAATGAGGGGATCTCAGGTGTCCTTGGTGGATGCAGAGGGGGAAGTGCTAAAGGCGGGCCAGAGAGAAGAGAGATGCTAATAGCCACAGCAGCTTAGGGACCTGAGGGACAAGCTTACCAGGTGCTATTCGGAGCACTTTATAAATATTCATTCATTTACTATTCACAACAGCTCCATGAGCTAGGTATTATCATTCCCACTTCCCCATGGGGAAATGAAGCACAGAGAGGCTAAACGGCTGGCCCAAGGTCAGGAAGGTCATTCATGGTGGAGTCTTGATTTGTAAATCTAGGCAGTCTGGCTCCAGACTCCATGCTGTAAACTGCCAAGCCATATATCCAGCTCTCAGCTGTGAAGGCAGAGGTGGTTCGGACCAGAGGAGAGGGAGAGGCAAGAGGTAGAGGACAATAAAGAAGGGTGGGATAAATGATTTATGGCGGAGTGCTTCCCTCTCCTGGACCATAAACCAAAGGGACCTGTCAGCAGCTGGGAAGGGAGATAAGGTGACTCAGGAGGGAGGGTCTGGGTGGGACCTGGGGACTGCCCCTTCCTGGGGCAAGGCTTCAGGTCCTGTACCTTTATCCGTGGCTCTGTGGGAAATTCACAGCCCAGTGATGCAGAGTGTTGCTAAGAGGCAGAAGTGTGAGGGCCACAGACGGGAACGGGGGCAGAGGAGTGAAACGCAGTCAGCTGGGTTGCCCTCAAGGAGTGCTGTCACAGAGAAGCTTCCAGGACCTCAGGGCCTGAGCTCCTGTGGTCCCAGGGCCTGGCTTCCCGGGTACAAGACACTCTTCAAGTGGTAAGCAGCCCAGAATGCTCTAGAAAAGCCACAGATAAGAGCTTGGGAAGGCGCTGCATGGCCTTGACAGCTGAGGCCCTAGAGCTAGTATGTCGCCCCCCCCCCCCCAGGTCAGGTGGTCATTCCAGACCTCTGGGATACACACACACAGAGTCCTATTCCTTCCACACACTGACATCTCACCTGGGCCCTGGAAGGAGGCTATAACTCCTTAAGGCCATTCGTAGGTTTCCAGACCTTGCTCACCTGGGGAGTTTCTCACAAAAAAAGGGGAGGGGAACAGATGTCCTTCAGGCTAAAAGGGACAAAAATTTTAAAAAAGGAAAGAAAGAGAGAAAAGAAAAGCCTGCCTGGGTTCAAGTCCTCCCCAGGTTTATCACGGTGAATCAGACGCAGTCTTGTCCTCAAGGGTCTCACAGGCTGGAGGCGGAATCTCCCTGTAGACGGCTCACAGACAAGGATGACTAACCGCTGCAGAGAGAAACCCAGAGGGCTTTGAGGAACGACTGGGGGAAGGTCACGGCAGGCTTTCTGGAGGACGCTCTGAGCTGGACCTTGAAGGAGCAGGGAAAAGGAGCAAGGCCAGAGGCTGCTGATGGAGGGTAGGGGGCGCATCTCAGAGGGCCTTGTGAACCCAGCTTAAAAGCCAGGACCGGGCACTGTTTGGCTTGGGGACAGGCTGGCAGGGCATCGGGAAAGGTTTCTGCCTTGTTTTCTGTTTTTTGAGGAAGATTAGCCCTGAGCTAACTACTGCCAATCCTCCTCTTTTTGCTGAGAAAGACTGGCCATGAGCTAACATCCGTGCCCATCATCCCCTACTTTATATGTGGGACGCCTGCCACAGCATGGCCTGGCAAGTGGTATGTAGGCCTGCGCCCGGCATATGAACCAGCAAAACCTGGGCCACCGGGCAGAACGTGAGAACTTAACTGCTGTGCTACCAGGCTGGCCCCATCTGCCTCTTTTTTTAGCTGAGGAGGATTCACCCTGAGCTAACATCCATGCCAATCTTCCTCTATTTTTTAGTATGTGGGTTGCCAGCGCAGCGTGGTGACTAACAGAGTGGTGTAGGTCCATGGCCAGGAACCGAACCCAGTCGCCAAAGCAGAGTGTGCTGAACTTAACCACTAGGTTACCATGGCTGGCCAGGGTCTCTGCCTCTCAATCTCAGGAGGATTGCCTGGTCGTGGGCGCAACAGTAGACCAGTAGGTGGAAACCAAAGGGAACAGATTCGGCTTTTCATGGTAATAGCAGTGATCCAGGCTCTGGGCATTGTTTCTTTGAATCCCCCTGATTGTCCTGGGAGGAAGGTGTTATTGATCCTGTTTTGTAGAAGAGGAAACTGAGGTTCAGAGAGATGAGGTACCGTGTACAAGGTTACAGAGAGCTAGAACTCAAACCCAGGTTTGTCGGACTCCCAAGCTTGTGCTCCTAGCCACCTCTCCACGCTTCCTCTCTTTAGGAAACCCTTGCACCTGAAAATCAGCTCACAGTGTGGGGGAAGGAGCTTCCTAAGACAGGTCAGAAGTGGGACCCCCACTCCTAGGTTTTTGCAGAGCAAGACCCCCAGGGATAGTGGTGGGTCTGAGCTAGTGTTCGATTTCCTGACCCCAACAATTCAGCACTGGGCGGGGGGTTGGGGGGGCGCTAATTGAGCCGGTGCCTCAGGTAGTATTTCCTCTGTTTGACAGATGAAGAAATTGAGACCCACAGGCCCACAGGTGGAAACGGCCACTCAAGATCCTGGACACCGCTAGCAGTCAGGATGCAAGACACAGGGCTGAGAAGGGTCTGCATCCCAAGGCCTGAGACCCAGATCTGTGGCCTCATCAGCCCTGTGGAATGGGGATGGGGAAGGGCCAGGCCAGGCCAGGCCTCCCAGAGCCTGGGCTGAAAGCCTGCCAGTGTGGCCAGTGCATAGGACCCTGGTCCCAGGGCTCAAGCCCTTGTTTAGGTCCAGTTAGGCCACCTCTAGCCTTTCAAGTCCATCAGCTTGGGTTTTGAATCCTGCCTCCAACACGTCCTAGCTGGACGACCGTGGGCAAGTCATTCACCTCTTGGAGCATCAGCTGTGAAATGGGGATGATTCCCACCTCATGGGGCTGTGACAAGGATTCCACGAGAGGGTGATGAGGTGGTGCCTGTGGCACAGTGCGTGTCACTTAGTCAGTGCTCTGGGATCTGCAGCTGTTAGATTATAACAATTTATCATGCATCTGTGTTCTCACCTGGAGCGTGGGACAGTAATCCCTGTCATCCTGGCTTCAAGGCCATGGTGTCACCTGTGTGAGCTATGGGGTCAGTGCAGATGGCAATTCTGTCGCTCAAAGCCCAGCCCAGCCCTGCAGGGGGAGGGAGACCATCCAGTTCCCAGGACCAGGGGAAGCTGGGTGACAGCCTCAATCCATCAATGATAACCTCAGTCCAGTGAAACTTTATGGGCCCACGAGGTACTTAAGTGTCTGTGGGGTGAAGGTGAGCCCAGTTCTGCTTCCTCCACGCAGGCTGCTGCCCAGAGCAGGTAGGCAGGTGTGGGGTGGGGGTGAGAGCACCCCGGGCCTTGGGAGACCAGCCATCAGCTTTGAGAGCAAGGCCCCAAGGGACAGTGGTGGGTCTGGGCCAGAGCTGGATCCCCTGTTCCCAGCAGCTCAGGGTCTAGCTACTCTGCAACCTACAAGTGGAAGAGGAGCTTGGGGAAGCCTCAGGCTCCTGAGGGTGTAGATCTCAGCTCCCCCCGCCCCCTCCCATGCCGGCTGAGCTCTGGAGGGGTGGGGGTATGCTTTGTCTGCTCTGCAGCTTCCTCCCCCTGGTCTACCGACACAGGGTGAAGGCTGGGGGTGGGGGGTGGGGGTGGGGTGTGTGTGTGCACGCGATCAGAGTTGAAGGGAGGTTGCCTGGGGAACTAAGCTTGGCGATGAGAAGGCGAGCTAAGGAGAAGGCTTGCTGAGGGGAGGGACAGCTCTGGGGGCAGCTCTTGTGACCTCCTGCCCCAGGCCCCCAGCACCATGACGGTTTCATACACCCTCAAAGTGGCGGAGGCCCGCTTCGGAGCCTTCTCTGGCCTGCTCCTCCGCTGGCGGGGAAGCATCTACAAGCTCCTCTACAAGGAGTTCCTCGTCTTCGTCGCCCTGTATGCCCTGCTCAGCATCACCTACCGGTGCGAGGGTGCGGGCGGGGCTCAGGGCTAGCCTGTAGGGGACCAGGCTGCCCACCTCCCTCTAACCCAGGCCTACACCTGACCTTCCCCAGGCTGCTGCTGACTCAGGAGCAGAAGCACGTGTATGCTCAGGTGGCCCGATACTGCAACCGCTCTGCGGACCTCATCCCCTTGTCCTTTGTCCTGGGTAAGCCTCCCTCCAGTTCTCCCTGGTATCCCTCTTACATCTTCCCTGGCCTTTGCTGTGGGGTTGATAGCTCTGAGGGTCAACAAGAGTAGGCTTCGCAGGCATGGGAGCTGGTGCTGGTCCAGGATTTCCAGAGGGCTAGGCCGTCCCTGTCACCTACTGGACCCTCACTCCCAACAAGGCACAAGACACCTGCTGGCCTCACAACTCTGCTCTGGGTACTGGAGGGGAGCTGGAGAGAGATGACACCCCCTCCTCGCCCTCACCAGAAGAAGGGCTCAGAGTGAACCATCACCTGCCCTTGAACCACCACTCTTCCTCTGCCGGAGGAGGTTTGCACTGCCCCTTCCTCCCGGTCTGGTCTAGCACATCAGGGCGGGACCAGACGAAGAGGCTGTCCTCCTGACAGCCAGGCCAGGCTCTGGAGCCCAGTGTGTCCTTCCCTCTGTCTGGGTTCAACCTGGCCTGGACCAGGAGCTCTGGCTGGGGGGCAGGACAGACCGACTCCCAGACCCTCCATCTTCCCTTCCCGTCCCCCCTACCCATGGCGGCAACTAGGTTTCTACGTGACCCTGGTGGTGAACCGCTGGTGGGCCCAGTACACAAGCATCCCACTGCCGGACCAGCTGATGTGCGTCATCTCGGCCAGCGTGCACGGCGTGGACCAGCGTGGCCGCCTGCTGCGCCGCACCCTCATCCGCTATGCCAACCTGTCGTCGGTGCTGGTGCTGCGCTCGGTCAGCACCCGCGTGCTGAAGCGCTTCCCCACCATGGAGCACGTGGTGGACGCAGGTGCGCGATGGGGTGGCCCTGGGGCCCGGCCCACGGCCCAAGGCAGGGGCGGTGCTGGAGGAGCCCTGGGCAGGCCAAGGCCAAGATCTGCCCCGCAGGCTTCCTGGTAGGGCAGGTCTGACTCCCCAAGGGGCGCTCAGGACCCCAGGGAGGCGGGTCCTGGGGGCAGAGGATAAGTCTGCGCCCCACCCACTTTATCCCCACAGGTTTCATGTCCCAGGAAGAGAGGAAAAAGTTCGAGAGCCTGAAATCCGACTTCAACAAGTACTGGGTCCCCTGCGTCTGGTTCACCAACCTGGCAGCTCAGGCGCGGAGGGATGGGCGAATCCGTGACGACATTGCTCTCTGCCTGCTCCTGGAAGTGAGTCTGCCCAGGCCCAGGCCCATCTGCTCCCCTAGCCCTGGCTTTGCAAACTGGAATAATAATTTTCATACCCAACACTTATATGGTGCCAACCATGTACCACACACTGTTGGAAGCACTGTACTTACATTAACTCACTGAACCCTCAGAAAAACCCTTGAGATAGGCACTATTATCACCCCTCTCTCACAGATGAGGAAACTGCCGCACAGAGTGGAAAAGAAACTTGCCCAAGTCACACAGCTAGTTAGTGGAGCTGGGATTCACACAAACATTCCGGCTCCAGGGTCTGTGCTTGCAATTACTTTGCTAAACTGCTTCCCATCACAGGCCCCCAGCCTGCTGTCACCACCGAGAGCAGACTGAGCCTCCAGACCTGGCCCAGGCCGCGTTTGTGCTGGGCTCGCCTGTTCTTTTCCTGTTCTTCCTTCCTCACCTCCACTGACTTCCTCCTCCTGCTGTTCCACCAGGAGCTGAACAAGTACCGGGCCAAGTGCAGCATGCTTTTTCACTATGACTGGATCAGCATCCCCCTCGTCTACACCCAAGTAACTGCCTCTCACCTCCCCAGTCCCAGTGCCTACTGTATGTTCCGTGCTGTGTGTGACACTGAGACGAACTAGAGATGGTACCTGCCTTGGGGCCGTTCAGTTCAGTGAGACACTGAACAGCCTAGGGCTCGTCCTCAAAGCCCCGCTGGACTCCCACTGAGATGCCCCCATCCCCGCTGGTGCTGCCACACCTCGCTGCGTGTTTTCATTACTTGTCAGACTTCCCCACCGGCCCTCAGGGGCAGGGACGGCATTTCTCGCTGTCCCACTCAGCCCGGCTTCCCCTTCTCCAGGTGGTGACCATAGCAGTATACTCGTTCTTTGCCCTCTCCCTGGTTGGCCGCCAGTTTGTGGAGACAGAGGCAGGCGCTGCCAAGCCTCGGGAGCCTCTGGAGCCAGGCGGGAAGCTAGGGCCAGCGCTGGGGGACCTGGACATGTATGTGCCTCTCACCACTCTGCTGCAGTTCTTCTTCTATGCTGGCTGGCTCAAGGTGGGCACTTCAGGTGGTCATGCCAGCCTGCTCTGTAGAGACGTGGGCCCAGGGCTCATCCCACCTCTGGGGACAGAGCATGGGGCTCTGAACCCCGAAAACACTGTCTTACAACCTGCAGGTGGCTGAACAGATCATCAACCCCTTTGGTGAGGATGATGATGATTTTGAAACCAACCAGCTCATAGACCGCAACTTGCAGGTGAGCAGAGGACTGGGGGCAGCTCGTTGGCCTCTCCCTCCCTGCCAGCTCAGCCCGGGTAAGGAGAGAATGGGAGGATCCTTGTGACCTGCTGCCCGCCCCAGGTGTCCCTGCTATCCGTGGACGACATGTACCAGAACCTGCCTCCGGCCGAGAAGGACCCCTACTGGGACGAAGACCTGGCGCTGCCGCCCTACACTGTGGCCACGGTGGCCGAATCGCTGCGGCCTTCCTTCCTGGGCTCCACCTTCAACCTGCGGTGAGTGGCTCGCGCTGTCGGAGGCAGGACTCGACCTGGCACGCGTGCCCCAGGTTCCCCCCGCACCTCTGGGCGCCAATGATTCGGCCCCCCAAACCCTCCCGCCCCCCGTCCCCTGCCGGAGAGCCACTCAGCCGGCGCGCCGAGGCTCGCTCATCCCGCTCTCCCGCCCGCAGCATGAGCGACGACCCGGAGCAGAGCGTGCAGGTGGAGGCGTCCCCCGCCTTGGCCCGGCCGGTGGCCCCCGCGCAGACCCCGCTGCTGGGCCGCTTCCTGGGAGTAGGAGCGCCCTCTCCCGCCATCAGCCTCCGGAACTTCGGCCGCGCACGGGGAGCCCCCCGCACTCCTCACCTGCTGCGCTTCCGGGCTGAGGAGGGCGGCGACCCCGAGGCCGCGGACCGCATCGAGGAGGAGGAGGCTGCGGAGTCAGGGGATGAGGCCGGGCAGCCCTGAGCAGAGGCGGAAGGGCCGTCCCGCCGGCTTCCCCCAGGCCCGCCCCCGCCCCTCCCTCCAACGCCCACTTGGCGGGCCGCGCCGGGTCCTGCCCTCCGGCTCTGCTAGAGCAGCACTTCCCGGGTGCCCTGAGCCGGAGCATTTAGGGACGGACCTTGAAAGAGGAAGATGACGGGAAGGGCCTGAGCCAGGGCTGGGAATGTGCCCACCTTGGAGGGAGAAGGTAGGATGGATTGCTTGGCGGAGGTGAAGCTAAAAGGATACATGGGGCGAGGCATAGAGGACGAGAGCCCAGGAGCGCTCATTTCCTTGGCATTGGGGGCCAGGGTGGGGGTCCGTTCTCAAACTGGAGGGGGCATCAGCATTACTGTTTGTTAAACAATTCTGAGTACCACTGCCAGCGTTTGATTCATTCCGTCTGAGATGGAGCGCAAGAATTTGCGTTTCTAGTAAGTTCCCAGGTGATGCTGCTGCTGCTGTCTAGGGATCACAATTGGAGCCATACATAAAAAGATGTGTAGAAGGGTCTATCTTATCCTGATAGCCTTACTTTGAAGAGGGGTCAAAGTGTGTATGCTGGGGGACTTTTGATTTATCTGTAATGTTCAGTTTTTCGTTTACAATGAGAATGTATTCATTTATTACTTGTGCAATTACACTCGTTTAAAATTGAACTGGCATGCTAGTGCTAGGATAAAGGTATGGGAATCTGCCCTAGAGGCTGATGAAACTCAGATGTGAAGGCAGCCACACACCACTCAGCCTCGACTTTCAACCTGTGGGTGGAGTGCCTATCTCTTCTCTGCTCCCACCAAACGGGGAGAAGGGCAGTTTAAGGGATGCCAGCTGCGGTCCATCTCCATGGTGGGCCTGCGGTGCTGGGAGCATGCAATAGATGGTAAGAGGGCGTGTGAACAGCCCTCCTGGGGAGCACTGGATTGGAGTTGTTGCTAAATTTACCTCCTCGAAGATTCCTGCCCTCTAAGCTCAGCCTCCACTAAAGAAATTGGTAAATGCCAAAACTGAATGTTACGGCCAAAGGATGACCAATGCCAGCATTCAGAGAGGAGGCAGGAGAGTGTAGCCTCTGCCATTGTCGACTGACTGGATTGTAACACTGGCTTTGCTACTTTCCTGCTGTGTGACCAAGGGATACTGAACATTTCTAAGCCTCAGTCGCCAAATCTATAATGTGGAGACAATAGCACCCAATGATCGCCATTCCCTCAGAAGGTATTTGAGGGGTTTCACTGGGTTTACAGGGTTAGGTAGCCTTGCTTCAGGGCAAGAATGGTCATCCGTGAAGGCAGTGGAGAGGGACAGTGAATGGATTCAAGACTTTAGAGAAGGAACTCACTGGTCCTATTGATAGAGGTAGAAGTGAAGGAGGGGGAGGAAAGATCAATGTCTTGTAAAGCTCAAATTAGAAAATAAGGGCAGGGGGCCAGCCCGGTGGTGCAGCAGTTAAGTGCGCACATTCCACATTGGTGGTCCAGGGTCCACTGGTTTGGATCCTGGGTGTGGACATGACACCCTTCATCAAGCCATGCTGTGGCAGGCATCCCACATATAAAGTAGAGGAAGATGGGCACCGATAAACTAACTCAGGGCCAGTCTTCCTCAGCAAAAGAGGATTGGTGGCAGAAGTTACCTCTGGGCTACTCTTCCTCAAAAAAAAGAAAATAAGGGCAAAGTGCTGTGTGTTGCTTTGCTATGCCTGACACTACAGCTCTCAGTAAACAGTAGCTAATATGAAGGCAGTGCATGTAGATCACCACTGGGTGGGAAGGCGTGGCCATCTCCCCAGAGCCAATGGTTAAGGCTAAAGCCTCTAAACAGGGTTGGGGTTGATGGATTTTTGTCCTTAAGGAGTTTTCCTGTGAGGAAGATTGTCCCCCAACTAACATCTGTGCCAATCTTCCTCTATTTTCTATGTGGGACACAGCCTCAGCATTGCTTGGTAAGTGGCGTGTAGGTCTGCACCCAGGATCTGAACCTGGAAACCCCAGGCCACAGAAGCAGCGGGCACAAACTTAACCACTACGCCATCAGGCTGGCCTCCTCAAGTTTGTGTACTCAACAAGCACACACACAAAAAGTGGGGTTCATTTGTATTCACAAAAGTCTGCAGTTTAGTCAAGTTGATGAATCAGTTGTATTTCACACTTATTTGGCTCTTAAGATATGTCCTTGTACTTCCCATCAACTTTAAATTGGATTAAAATCTTAAGACTTTTTTTTGGTGAGGAAGATTGGCCCTAACATCCATGCCAATCTTCCAATTTGTATGTGGGGCACTGCCACAGCATGGGTTAATAAGCCATGTGTGGGTCTGCACCTGAGATCCAAATCTGTGAACCCTGGGCCGCCAAAGTGGGCTGCACAAATTTAACGACTACACCACCAGGCCAGCCCAAGACTTTCTCTTTTGAACCCATTTAGCACATATTTGAGCGTCTGGTATATTGCCATGCATTCTTCCAGGTACTAGAGACACAGCAGGAAACAAATATCGCCATTCTCCTGGAGTAATGTTCTCATTGAGGACAAGATAGACAACAATCAAATAAAATGAGCTACATTTATAGGGCGGGGGGAAGTGGTTAAATTCATGTGCTCTGCTTCAGTGGCCCAGGGTTCATGGGTATGGACCACACACTGCTCAGCAAGCCAAGCTGTGGCAGCATCCCACATAACAAAACAGAGAAAGATTACTACAGGTGTCAGCTCAGGGATAATCTTCCCCACCAAAAAGAAAAAAGGTTTATGTCAGATTGAGGGATAAAGAGAAAAAAAAAACATGGGTAAAGGATAGAGCCTGGAGGGAACTGCAATTTAAAATTCTGTGATCAGGAAAGAACTCACTAGGGTGACACAGCAACAAAAACTTGGAGGGAGTAAGCCATGTGGATATTTGAAGGAAAGTGTTCCCAAAGAAGAGAACAGCAGCAGAGTGATTAAGTTCGCACGCTCCGCTGCGGTGGCCCAGGGTTTGGATCCTGGGTGCGGACATGGCACTGCTCGTCAGGCGAGGTTGAGGTGGCGTCCCACATCCCACAACTAGAAGGACCTGCAACTAAGATATACAACTGTGTACTGGGGGGTTGGGAAATAAAGCAGGGGGGAAAAAAAGGAAGAGAACAGCAAGTGAGCATGTGTTCATTAAGGCCAAGGTGATCACTATGGAAAAAGTTTGCTAAGGATTTTGGGGTGGGAAGCTCTCATGTCAAAAATCTGATCTTTTAAAATGACCACTAATTGCTGGGATTGCATTGGGGGCAACAGAAGCAGCCTTGAGAGCAACTAGGATGCAAAAAAGTGACCAGAATGGGAGAGGTGGTGTTAAAGGTTGGGGGAAAAAAAAAAGGGGTTGAATCAACAAGATCTTGGTGCCATTAGATATGGGAGTAGAAGAATAAAGCTGAGAAAGACCCAAGAGTTTGATTTCAGCACAGTTGCAAGAAGACTATTGGCTGTCATCGAATTGGTGAGAAAGTGTTTGAAAAGGGAAAGAAGAATGTGATCAGTTTTGAACATGCTGAGCTTTCAGATATCCAAGTGCAGGTGTCAAGGAGGTCTAGGCTAACGTTAGAAAGACGGAGCATAAACCACATTCACATGCCGAAAGACAACAATGTAGCTTAGTTGAAGATACCTGACCCTTGGAGATGTAGCAATATCACTGGTAATCTTAATTGTTTATGAGTGATTAGGGGGGAAAGGAGTAGGGTTCAAGAAAAAACCAAAAGCTGACACGACATGGCTATGTAAACATGTATTTAACTTGCTCTCAACAATGCAGGAACCCAATTCCAACGTTTCCAGACCATCCACGAACCCAGGCTGAAAACTGAACCAAACCCTTAGAACCAAGGTCCGCATAAGGGTACAGGATCTCTAAAAGAGCCACCTTCACAGAGGCAGTGTGGCTTCAGGTTCCAATCATGGTCCAGCCAACAGCCCAATGTTGCTGGGGGCCCCACTTCTGGGATACCTCCTTCATACAGTCTCTGCTCGGCCTGAAAACGAGCTCTTAGGGTGAGAAATGTTCCCCCTGCTACAGAAACACACAACAGGCCTGGCCTTCAGGGAGAGGGAGTTGGGGACTCCAGTGTGCCGAGCGAACGTTCAGACGACATAACACAGGACAGAGAACAACAAACCCCTTTATTATGTGAGCTAGGACCAGAGGGACTTATTTGCCTTTCCGGGCCTTGATTTTCCTCAGATAGAACTCCAGCTCCTTGCCCTCGAGCACATAGCCGTCTGCTCGGCCACACTGGCCTGGTCTGGAAGCGATACATGCTGCAAGAGAGTAAAATGACAATGCGGCCCTCCCCAGACCTATGGATCCCCTTAGAAGTCCACATTGCTTCAGGTATCCTGGGGACAGGCATGAAGCCCACTGTCTTCTCAGATAGACTTTATCATCACTTCAAGTCAGCAGCAGAACTGGACAAAGTTTTCATCACTGAGACAGCCCCCTCAGCCCGGGCACAGGCTTCTCAAAATACTCTTGAAACTCAGAGGCACAGGCCAAGCTCAGGCCTATGGACTCCTGCCCACCATTTCCCATTTCAGTTTAACACTGACGGGGTGACCGAACGTTCTGATTTGTGCTGGTATGCTATTATCATTAAACCCTCCTGGTAGAACCCTCTAGACCACATGGCTGGCAGTCAAAAGAACTGAGGCAAAGGTGAAAAAAAAAAAAAAAGGCAGAGGGCACAGCTCGTCTCGGGACCCCCTCTCCCCGCAATGCAGCAGCCATCTCACCGAGAAGCTTGCCCTGCTGGAACTGCTCCTCCAGGAGACTGCTGATTTTAGCATTCTTTTTCCTTTCATCGTATTTCTTCTGAATTTTCTTTGAGCGTTTTTTATTTAAAATTTCTTCCTCCTCAGGAGTCTGAACAAAGCAGATACAAGTGGGTTAGCTAGGGCTCCCCAAGCCCCAGGTCAGGGACGGGAACGTCATCGCAGCCTGGAACCCCACGCACCCCAACCCCTGGCCGCCTTCGTCAGCACTAAAGGCTTTCATCTCTCCCCCTTCAGCAGCAGAACTGGACAGTTTTCATCACAAGGCAGCTGGGATCAGGCTGGCACCCACACCCACACCCCTGCAGGAAGCTGGCCCCCAAGCACGCACCAGCTTGGCCCCCTTCTTGCGGCCCAGGGGCAGTGCGTAGTGGGACTCGTACCACTGTCGGTACGGTGTGCTGTCAACCAGCACGATGCAGTTCTTCACCAGGGTCTTGGTGCGGACCAATTCGTTGTTGGATGCATTGTAGACAACATCAATAATCCTTGTTTTGCGCGTACAGCCTGTTCACAGGAGAAATTCAGAAGTCAAGTCAGATAAGCCCGAGGCCAGCTGGCCTTGCTCCCCCTCCCCCGTCCTGGTAGGGCCTAAGGGACGGAGAACTCTTAAGCCTTTACCCAGCCAAGGGGCATCAGCTCATCTCCCACAAACCCATCTTTCCAGAGGTGGCTGGCGACCACACAAACATAGTCTCTAGATTCAACCCCAATCCCTGTAGGAGTTCAGAGACAGGACAGGATGGAGAGAACTCTCCAGCGACCACAACCTCAAGGTCTTTCAACAAGGAGACACTTCAATATCTTGCTGGAGGACCATGGACTTCCTGCTAAAAGCGCTCACTGAAGCTTAGAAAGGTTTAGGCGCTGAATTCCCACCCACTCCCGCAGAGCCTCACTCACACTCGGAGCCCCAGGAGAAGTTCCCCACGTCCAACCTCAAGGCCCGGTACTTCTTGTTGCCTCCCCGCACGCGGACTGTGTGTATGCGGCGGGGGCCAATCTGGAAAACACAAGGAGACAGGAGCTCGGTGACCCAGGAGAGCAGGACGAGAGGGAAAGGAACCTGGGCCGGCGGGAGGCGACAGTCAGTGTAACTATGACAAGTCCTAGCATTGGCAAGTGGCACAGAGGTGACCAAGACGGCCACAACCACACCTAAGGATACTTTTTCATCACTCTAGTCACCTCCGACAGAGAAAAACCCGATTCCAGACACTGCGAATTAAGTCTCCATGCAAGAGGCTTCTGACTCTCACGTGAGCAGCCGCGTCCTGCAGGCGCCCTTCGGGTCCTCGGACACAGCACGTCTCCGTGCAGTCTCTTTAGGAGAACCCCAAAAAGTCCAAGTGAGGAGGCCACCCAGTCCCCATAACAAGTCACAGAGCCGACAAAGACGCAGAGACCACACGCAGAGCAGGGGTCGCCCCCGGGCAGAGGCCCTGCACGCACCTTCGTGTTGGCCGCGGGCCGGCCCAGCTCATACTTCCGCTTCTTGTGGTAGGGCTTTCTCTTGCCCCCGGTCTTGCGGCGCTTGTGCCAGTTGTCCCGAGAGATGCCTGTATGTGGGAGCGGGGGCGGACGTTTGAGCCACCAGGACCCGGGGCGGTCGCCTAGCCAGCCCCCGACCCCCGCGCCGGGCAGGCCGCACGCTCAGCTCTCCAAGGTTGGCGTC